TTTTTTTTTTTGCTCAAATTGAATTAATTGAGTTTCTTGTTATTTTTATTTCGTATTGCGTAAATTTGATGTGCGTAGTTTTGAAAAAAAAATTTGGAAAATCCTTATTTTTAAAGTTAATTTTGGTTTTAGGATTTTTAGAATGAGGATATTATGTAATAATTACGTCATTATAGTTTCACAATAGTATCATGAGAAAAAATCCCAAAAATTAACAAAAAAAAAAAATTTTTGAGATATTTTTAGTTTTTGACGTTTCAACTTTAAAAAGCTATAACTTTTGAACCAATTTTTTTCGACAATTTTTTCAAAAGTGTTTGAAAAAAGCATTGAAAAACACACGTTAAAAAAAAAAAAAATTTGAAAAAACTCGATGGGGTGGTAAAATGCATTTGTTCCTTGCATTGGTTACAATGTTCATTTGCTAACTCTGACCAAAAAAATTTCAACAATAATAATATAAAATAAATTATTTGATATTATAAATAAAATTTATGTTTCACTCAATAGTATATAATTAAAAATATAGTTTTATAATCATTGATGAATGTTTAATTAATAAATTATTTAAATTATATGACTTAAGTTATATTTGCTTTATAGACGCATATCTAAATTTAGTTTAATATTTGAAATACAATTGGGATTCTTTCATAAATACAGTAAAGTAAACAATTTTAATACACATAATAATGTATTTGACTCCAAGCATTATAAAAAAAAATTCCTCTCGAGTATTGACAAAAGAAAGATAATAAATATTATGTACTTACCAATAAATAATGCATTGTCCTTTTTCCAGATTTTAAATTAATTTATAATTATATTGCGTTGAATGAGTGCTTAAATTAAATACTTTGGATTGACTAAAATTATTCTAGATTAAAATTAAATAAAAAATTGAGGTTTTTGAACTGTCAAAGACAGTGTCTATATTTGATTATTAAAATTTAATGTAGTTTGTAAGAAAAAAATTAATTCTATGATTCAATAAAATTGCTCCAAGACAATTATATTAGGCAAAAAGTAGTTTTAAGGCGTAAATTAAGATGATAATAATGTTTGGTTGCCTATTCATTTTCTTATAACAAAATTTTAGTTTTTTTTAACTATTACAGATTACTATATATTAATGTGATAATTATTTTTCATATTTGACAATATACTTTTTAATTTCTTATCTAATCTACAATAATTATTAATGATTAATAATCTAAATCATGCAATTTTTTATTATTATTAAAATTAGAGGATTTTGAAGGATGTAATTATATTCTACATACCAACATTTTAATATAAAAATTCATTTTTCAAGTATACATATTGGGTGTTTTTGTAATTTATAAAATAATTGGGAATACTTTGTAACAAAAGAAAAAACTTATGATATATTATGAGTACTTAAAATTTTTGATCATCAACTTTGATTCTTTTAGGCTGAGTAATATATTTTATTTAATAAATAAAACACTAAACAAATTTTTAGATTTGATATAATTATTCAAAAAAGTACTCTACCCTAGTATAATAGTTATATTACTAGGTCAACGGTATTCATAGATAATATACAAGGTATTCAAAAAGTAAGGAAACAAGTCAATTGTTTCAAACAATGAGAATAATAGAAACCTGTTTTCTTATTAACTGAAAACTCTAAATAAATATCTAAGATTGGATTACATTATGATTCAAGTACTAATCTATCAATTCAAAAAATAAATTTTAATTTAGGTTATATTGGGAGTTATAAGTAGTATAAATTGAAATCTTACAGAGAAGACCATATAAAACAATTATAATTTCTATTTTTATATTACTAATTTTATAATATTTAAGACCTTTTTTAAAAAGACAATTCAATACATTTACTTCTTTCTCTGGTTCTTTTTTAATTTTTAATTAATAGTTTTTTTTTTTTAAATCATTTTATGACAATACCTACTCCAAAGTAATTCCATAATCAAATAAATAACCACAAAAATATTATCTAAGTTAAGATTATAATCCTAGAAAATAACAGTACGGCAAATGTTTTGCAAGTGATCTTAAGTTATGTGGAACTGATAATTTTTTATTTAAATTAACTCGTTATTTAAAGAGTTTAACCACTTCATTTAAAGATTAAAAGATGTATACATATATTTTTTTAATGTATTAATAGAAAAAAATATTGCTTTAGAACCATTCTATTCTGAGCATAGATCTTATAAACATGGATACGACATTGATGCTTTATCAGTGAAGACTGTGGTGATAGTAAATTGAGGCTATTTGTTTACATTATTACATGATAACATGTACTTTTTATTTTTTAATGGTTAGTAATTATTAATTAGTATAAGTTATGTAATGTATAATTATGTAAAACTTAAAACAATTATTCTTTCCAAAACTTATAAAATATATAGTAAAACAGTAATAAACATAAATTAATCGTGATTAAAATGAATAGTTTTTGTTAATTTTGCTCTTGTTTTAATGCGTTCTCCATTTCTTATTCTAACTTCGTGATACATTCTAACATCTAAATACTTCAACACTATTAAATTTATCATATTGTTTTTGTGGGCATTTTCAAACCAAGCATCATCTCCACAAGTTATTTTAGAAAATATGTTAAAACTTCTATATAGTTCAGTTTTAACTTTAATTAAAAAAAAATTGTATGGATTTGATTAGTGTACTGTTTAAATATTTTTTCAGTTACATTACAGATTATCTCAACATCAGTACTTGGTTTTGTGAGATTCTTAATTTCTGTCAAACTACATGATCTGCTATTTCCTTATTAATATTCTGATTAAGATAAAGTATGTCGAATGAAAAAGGGATACAAATATTATTTCTCATAAAAACATTGTATTGATCCATACACTTTTCAATAAGTTATAGCATTATAAAGTTAAAAATGTAAAAAATAAAATCGAGAATTTTCACACAAAAATAGCATTTGGTAGTCAATTTCATCTTGAAAAAATCGAAATTCGAAATTCTTTTTATATAAAAAAGTATATTACATTAGCTTTAATTTAAAATATATATAAAAGTGTCAGTATTTCCGGTACACTTTCAAAAGTTAAGTTGAAAAAGTACATTTTTTGTGAAAAAGTTGTCATTTTGAACCCCCACTGTAGGCAGGTAAAGGATCAGATTTATAAAAAAAATATACAAAATAATAGGTAAGTACCTTTCGTATCTATATAAAAAAAAATTATATTGATTTGGTCATTTATAAAAAAGTTATGGCGGTTTTAAGTAAAAAAAATTGAAAATGTGTCGAAAATTAGCGATTTTTAAATTAGTAATTTTTTTGGAGATTTCCCCCATTTATGAGGAACAAGGAAAATTTTTTCATTTATTGTAAGGGTAATGTCTTCGACTAGATACGATTTGTGATCTTTTGACGTATCGTTGAAAGAAATCGGTTCGGTGAGAGCTGAGAAAGAGTGGTAACAGACACAAAAAAAAAACAGTAAAATTAATACTTTACAGCTTCACATCGAAGCTAAAACAGTATATTATGCTCTTATCATAATTGAAATGTAAACAAACGGCCTCAATTTCTTATCAGTTCAGGACCGCGAAAACACAAGGGCCTCAAATACGAATGTCCTATCCATGTTTATAAGATCTATGATTCTGAGGCAATGAAATATTATTTGTTGAAAATTTTTGATATTAGTGATATATTACGTAGACGGGAATAACACCAAAGAGCCTTCAAAGTAGTCTTTTAACCATGGTATGTACAAATAACAATGGTAATATGATAGAGGTTATGTTGATAAACTAATGTTTCCGCTAATGTAAGTTTTTCACATTAGTAATAAAATAAAATCACATTACAATTATTATATTTCAGTTTCAATCTGACTGTTAATAAGGATTCTATATTGAACTTGGAGCATACTATAAATATTTAACTTTAAAAGTTTGTTGATATATATTATAGATATTATTTATTTTAATATGCTCAATTTTTAATTAAATAATGATTTTAATTTTAAATTTAATACTTTTATGTTTAGATTTTCTAATAATTAAACATGAACAATCTTATAAGATCATTAAGTCGTACTTCTCGACTATCTAATGTAATATACAATAATATATCAAGAAAAATATCAACAACACCCATAAGTCAGTCACTGTGGAGCATTACAAATCGATTTGTACCTGTAAAACATTTTAATATCCGTAGTGCTCATTCAACTGGTGTGTTAAGCAAATCTGATATATTTTTGATCAAATCTTATTTAATACATTTAACATAAATTTTCATTTTAGTGGAAAAAGAACTTCATAAATTTTTAGAAGAAGAAATCAAAGCAGAAGAAAAGACATCTGATAAAACAGTTTTACCAAAAACCTTAGAAGGATTCAAAATAAATTTTGATGCAGCTGAAGTAGAATTTGTTAAAGAAAATATGAATGAAACGTAAATAATTAAAAAATTTTTTATAAAGAAGTAATAGAGATGATAACTGTTTTAATACCTATGAAATATATAATACAGTTATCTAATTTCTTTTTTTATTAAAAACTTATTATTACTAAAGAACTTATTGATCATTTTAATGTTTGTTGGTAGAAATAACGTTATTTGGTGTAGGTTGAATTGAAGATTTAATGTAAAATAGTTGCTTAACTTTTTATTAGTCAATTTATTAGATTAGTTAATATACATTATTAATTTAATTCAGATATACAATGAATTATGGATGTATTTCTAAAAATCCTAATTCATTTTAAATAATAACCATAATTTTAATAAGGTTAACAAAATATGTTGAACTAAATTTAATTTAAAAAAATGGTTATGATCAAGTAAAAATTGAGGTGTAGGATGAGATATTTAGTGTTATTTTCTTTTAAATGAAACTATGCATTTTTTTTTCATTATTTTTTTTATAAATGAATTTTGTGATTAATTTTCAGTATATCAATAAAATTTAACATTAACCACTCTGTAACTGAAGAAGAAATTGAAGGATCAGAAAAAGTATTATTGAAATCTAAACCAGATTTTGAAATTGATATAACTCGAGGAGACACAACTCTTGGGTTCAATTGTTCATTTTCTAATGACTTTGAAGGCACAGAAGTTGAAGAAGCAAATGGTTTATAATAAATTATTCATATGAATTGAATTCAGAAAATTAGAGTTTTTTTTATTTTTTAGATGATATTTTCCGCATTGATGAACTCACAATTTATGAAAACAAATACTCAGAAAGTAAATATGCACTAAGTGGTGAAACATTAGATGCTGTTAGTATAGTATAAAAGATATGGTATGGTAATAGATTACCATTTTACAATTTTTTATTTTTAGGACCTATATGATTTATTAATGTCATTTTTGGCTGACAAAGGTGTAACCAGTGAATTTGTCGAAAAACTTTCTGAAATAAGTACAAAATATGAACAGAGTGTTTATATTCAATTTTTAAATGACTTGAAAAAATTTTTTTGATGTATCAAGTTTATTATAATTCCACAGTTGTTAAATACTAAATATGTAAATTTATAGTCTGATGTATTACATATAATATACTAAGTTTATTTTAACTTTTATATAAACTAAACTTGTTTTTTTTATGTTCATATTAGTTTATTATAGAAGAAATTATTTTCTTGAATATTGATGTAAGTTGCTACTAGTTACATTTACTTTTTAAGTAAAATTTCTTCTATTTAGCTCCATTACATGTCTTTTATGATTATGCTATTTGTTATATTAACATAATGTCTGAATTAAACATCAATTACCAAACATATATATTATACATAAAATATTATTGTATTCATTTTTTAAATATTTTAGAGGTATGTTATTTTTGTTAGTTATATGCTTTGGATAGTTTTGATTTCACTTATGCATTAGTTTACTTATCAGTTGGGTTTTAAATAACATAATGTAGTTTCTTATGAAGTATTTTCTGAACACAAAATTTTAAGAATTAAAATTGTAAAATAATTAGAATTCATTTTTTGTGTCCAATAAATTAAATACTAATGAATAGATTATTTTTAAATTTTAACATATATATTAATAAAATTTATAATTTTTTTATTTTCTATATTTTAGCTTCGATGCAAAGCTGACAAGGTATTAATTTTACTATGATGTGTTTTTTTGTGTGTCTGTTACAATTTTTTCTTGCAGAACTGATTTCTTTTAACGATATATGTCAAAAGATCACTTATTGTATCTAATCGAAGACATTACCCTCAAAAATTGAAAAAATTTCCCTCGTTCCCCATAAATGGAGGAAATCTCAAAAAAAATTTAAAAAAAGATCGCTAATTTTCGAAAATTTTTTATTTAATCTATGGCAGTTATGGCAACTTTATCGAAAATGACCAAATCAGTATATTTTTATTTTTTATAGATATATGATGTCTTTACCTTTCATTTGGTATATTTTTTTTATAAATCTGACCCTTTACCTGCTCACAGGGGATTATTCAAAATGACAACTTTTTCACAAAAAATAAACTTTTGAAAGTGTTCCGAAAATACTGACATTTTTATATATACCTTAAATTAAAGCTAAGGTAATATAATTTATTATGGAAAATAAAATTTCGGACTTTACTTTGTCTTCATGGTGAAATTGGCTTTATATTTTACATTTTTAACTTTATATTTCTATAACTTTTCGAAAAATGTATAGTTCAATACAATTTTTTTGTGAGAAGTAATATTTATATACCTCTTTGACTCGACATATATTTTTTTTTTAATCAGACCCTTTCCCTTTATATATTTATATTTATATATTACACTTATAAATTGTGAAATTTGTAATTAGAATATATATAAGAAAATAGGAGATCATATAGCTTTTGGAATAATCCATCAATTTTTTAAAATTAAACACTACAGATTTGCATCAAAGCGTTTTTTGTGATAGTTTTTTTAACCACTGTCGGATATCATCTATACTAGAGCCAACTTGCCACCTCCCCACTGTGCTGGGTTTTTTTAGCTATAGATTCCTTATTTATTTTAAATAAGGAATCTATAGCTAAAATTGTATGGTAATATATCAAATTATAATAATTCAAACATAGTTTATTTATAAATAAAAATAGTTGTCAATTGATCCTCTTGATGTTAACATCTATTAATTCATTATCTAAAATAAATTAATTTCCTAGTTTGGAAAATTGTTATTGGCAAGTTATTATATTTTAATGTATGTAGATGTGTATTTTTTTTTTAGCAAAATGTTATAAAACAATTATTGATTTTTGAAGTATTGTTCCAAGTTATGATTTTTAAAGTCATTGTACAATACATTGATATAGAAATTGTAATTTACATTCTGTTGTTGTATAAATTTTAGGAATTATTCATTATTTTCATTTTATTTATGAAATATTTCAGTGTTATCTTATTGTGGTCAATTCATTGAATCAATATATTTTATACAGTAAACCTTTCAGTGTTATTTAAGTACATGAATTTCGTAATTTGAATGTATTTAAGAAGACTGGTAGCTGAACCTCCGCTAGGCGTAATATTTGTTCTCTTCGTAATGCTCCTATTCTAACTTAATTATTTATTAATTTATAGGTACCACTTGGAGTTATTTATTGTTTATTTCTGTTTAATACAAATTCCTGACTGCACTTGAATATTTTTCATATATTATGTTATAATAACTAATTATATCCGTACAATAATAAAGTTATTATTTTATAAATGTTCATGAATCGTAATTATGATTCATGAACATATGTTATTAATTATAATTAAATAATATAAATTATTATCGTAGCAATTAATAGGAGCAATCTTAGAGGAATTGTGAGAACTGAGCACATACCCCTCCATAAATTATAAGAAATATATTTAAAAAAAGAAAATTGGAACTCCCAAACTTTTTGATACAATTGAGACTATGAAACAATTTTCTATTTAAAATCATGTGTTGTTGTTGTTTCTTTGTAAACATTTATTTTAATTTTTGGGATCTGTTCTATTCAGAAATTTTTTTTTCTCATTTCACAAATCTATGTCTGAAAAATTAAATTAAATTTATTGTATTTAAATTTAATGTGCCTAATAGTTAAATATATGAAATACTAAGCAACAAAAAATATTCTATAGACAATATTTATATTACGTAGTTAATATATTTTCTGATTTTTTGATTTGATACTACGACCTAAAATTTTATATAAGTCCTTTTAATGGGTAAATTCCAGATTCTTTCAGGAAATTGTCGATATTAGAGTGAATAGCTCAATAATTATTATCATTTCCATTAATTGCGTTCTACAATCATCCTTTACACTAACTATAATATAGTTAAAAAAAAATTATATTCTATTGTAAAATTAAAATGTGTGCTCTTAAATAATTACATTGGAATTGGTTCATGCATTGTAAACAAACTGAAGATGGGTCGATATTAATATATTTACTAAATTATTATATTAAATGAATACCTAAAAAATACTTGCTCTTCAAATTTTTTTGAAGAACACTCTTTGTAATCAATGTCGAGTAGCAAATAAATACAAATTATAATTAAAAATCACTTCTTTTAAGTACATATTGAAAAATTAATTGATTATGATTAATAATGTTTAATGAATTTTTTTTTTTTATAAAATACTATTTAGTGGGGATTTTTAAGGCATTGACACAATAGTCACCGCTGACACCGTGGTGTCTTCTACCTCCACTAAACACACCGTAGCAAGGCACGCACCATAACATAATTCATCGTTTTGCTTCAGTTGCATCGCGATTGCGTGCGCAACAGTTGTTTGTGGCAGTCATTTCACAACAATCCACTACTTCTAGTGATATCCTCTTATCTCCGGATACCGTTTGTGACTTAATTATATCTCGATCTTATTTGAAAATTGCAGTTTTTCAGGTTACTGTACCATTCAGCTCTTTCCAATCAAATTTTTTTCTAAAATAATCAGATATATAACAGTTTTCTTAAAGTAAACCAATCGCTAACATCAAAATAAGAAACATGCGTCGTTTCCGTTGGTGAAATTTTATGCAATAAGTGCGTTTTTTTGTACAAAGTAGGTCGCGACAGCTTTTTTCTTTAACACATACCAACAGTTCATATCTATTCAACCGATTCCTCATAAAATATATATATAATTGTTGTTCATGCATCAAAATGATGACAGAATAAATGATTTTGGTAAGTTACCTGTTTTATTATACTAAGAAAATAATATAATTATATTTTTGTATTGTTTTTTATTCAAAATATTTCTAATAAGTAGTATTGATGTTTCGTACTACTTATAACTCGAAAAAATTATTAGTATATAGTATTAGATAAAAGTATAAGCTATTTCTTAAAAATCATATTTTTCTACCTTCAGCTATTATTTTCTTATGTTCTTTTACTTATGCTTGCATTTTATAAAAATATATGTCAATAACTCTCATAACAGTTGAAATATTATGTGTTAAACTTTTTAACATAATTAATTTTATATGAATAAAATACTGGTATTTAAAACTAATTTTCGAGGTTTTACCCTCAGTAAAAATCTAAATTATAGAACACCTTATTTGCAATAATGTAACTGTGTAATAATTAAAAGTTCTATTTAATAATTATTTGAAAGTAGTTTCAGGATTTGTTAGTTTAGTTTAGAAGTTTCAAAATAAAAAAAGTTAAGTCTATCTTTCAAATGATTTTATTAAATTATGTATGTATTACATTTTTTTGACGTTATTCATTAATATGATAAACATTCATTAAAATTCTGTGCCTAATCATTGTTATCAATACTTAACCAGTATTAAATATTAGTTATTATACTTGATTGTCTATCTTAAAGATTAAATACAAGCTGATAGCAATCAAAAAAGTATAGATGGAGTGGTGATGTATGGCTCTTATTTTTATATTGTATAAAAATATATTTATTTTTTTCACTCAATGAAATATTTGAGTCTATCATTCAGTTTGTTGAAGTGAACTTGATTATTGTCTTATGATATAATAATAAAAAAATTATCCAAACTGAGTGATAGATTATCAAGCCCGGATTGAAGCATTGTGAGTCTCATGATCCCATATTTAAATATCATAGGTATCATATATATTATGTATATCATGATTACTATAATTTAAAAACTGAGGCATTAAGTCTTTAAGATTGTGAGCCATGGTCTTCCATAATTTAGATTTGTAAGTATTACAAAAAAATATGTGATTAGAATGATTTTCTGTAATTAAAATTTTCTAGGTTACCTTTTTTAAAAATAATATTTTAATTGAACATAAAAAATAATAATTTATCCTGAAGTTTCATTGTTTTCTTCTTACATTGTGATTTATGAAACAAGAATTTTTCCTGAATTTAAATATTAAATGGTATATTATATATATTTACTACATTTTATTCTAAGGCTAATTAGTTATTTGATGGTATAGTGTCTGTAAGAACGGTATTTGTGATAATGGTTTAGTTAAGAAATAATGATTTAAGACTGATACCATTCCCAAAATATATGATGTAAGATATGTGTAGAGAAAGTCAGAAGAGCCTTTCCTAAGACTTTAATTTTCAAATGAAATTTTTGTCACTTTTAAGAATAATATAGTTATTTAAACTCTAAAGTCCCCTTTATATTTGTTTGTATTTTTTTAGTATTTTCATTAAATGATTTGTTTAGTAGATACCAATTTCTATTTTTAATGATTCAGTTTTAAATAAAATTCTCAAATACATAAATTATAAGTTAAATGTAAGTATGAATAACAAATATTTATTTGAAGTCACATAGAACAAAGACTATATTCCTTTTGCAGACACCTTAAAATAATTTGAATAAAAAAGTAAACATAAAAATATCAGGTTATATCTGGTATACAAGGTAAACCATTTTTTATAATCCACTTAATAACTTACAAAATAATAATTTTCAGAGTTTTTTTGTTTTTTTTTAGTATTATTTATTTTTTGGTTTATAAGTGATTAAGTATTTTATAAGTTAATTTCTTATTTCTTATAAGGGTATAAACTTAATTTTATAAAAAATGATCTAACTAAGAAAATAATTAGTCGGCGACAACTTTTGAACCAATACTTCGGAAGTTTTTAGCTTTTTTATAGTAGACGGGAAATGAAGCGCAGGAATGACTCTTTATCATTAGACATTTTTTGATCGCACTCTTTCTGCTAGGTATAAAAATGTTAATAACTTGAAAAGTTGTTATCGACCTATCATTTTCTTAATTTCCTATTTTATAAGTTGTTTCCGTTAAAAAAAAAAGTGGACACTCTTACAGGCGTAAGGGATGGATCGAAAAAGTAATAATAATTTATAAATCAAGAAATATATTTAACTAAAAAAAGCCAAAAAAATAATTCCGAAATTATTTTTATTGTTAAATTATTGAATGAGTTACGATATATCTTGATATGAGATCTAACCCAGTGGCGTAATAATATTTATTAATGGGAAGGGTGACATAGTCAGATCATTATAGACAATTTGTATACTTATTTATTGATGGCCTTTTTTTCTTTATTCATTACTTAATTATGAATATAAATATAGCTCTTATATAGAACTTATGTCTTCTGTGTCACCTTATCAACCTACGCTACTAATCTAAACCAGAGATTTAAATCTCCAGTTTTGTTTAAAAAAATTGTGCATCTAGCTTAGTTAAGGGATTTGTCGCTATTACATTTAAATGTGCATTACTAAATTAAAAATTTTGAAAAATAATTGTAAGATTTTATTTATTAATATGTAATAAATATTTTTCACTAAATCAATGATACATTATTCATTTTTATAATTTTAGTGTCACGAAAGTATTATATTAGATGAATGAATAAACAATGCTTTCTCTATTCAAACGTATCATTAACAGTTTATATGTTCAGTCATTGTATTTATTTTTTAAACGACGGCGTATATTTATATTGATACTTAATCATTTCTAACAAATAACGGTTTTCATAAGTTTTTTAATTCGGATTGTTTTAAGCATAATTAACTTATAAATTAAATCTTGCATTAATAAGCTATTAATATACTTATTTAAATGCAATTTTCAATTTTCAGAAAACTATATTATAAAAGTTATTACTCATATTAATACTATTTTATACCAAATGGAAATTATTTAACAAAATAATTGAATTCGTTTATCGTTTATTTATTTATTTTTTTTAAGAAAGTTTTTTATTGAGTTATAATAACAATCTACACAATAGGTACAATAAGTAGAAATTTATAAGTATGATAATAACATAAATAGCATGAATCGGTAGCTCACGTTAGGGCCCCTCAAAATATTAGTGAAGTATTACAACATGCTAGTATAAATAACGTAAATCTATTGATTTTTTTTCTCAGTAGATTGGTAGTAGATCTCTGTATCAGGAAATATTTAAACGTTGGGTTGAGTTGTTTGGAAGTGTTATAGTGCTAAGTTGGGCACTGTTAGATTTTTTGAACGATTTAATGGTTTGCTATGTTATCTGAAGAAGAACACTGTATAGATGATTATTAGTTACAATTTTTTTAATAGGTACTAGTACAAGTTAATAGACCATCAGATAACAATAAACAAATTTTATTGTAATGACAATTTTTTTCGTATGTTTATTTACGTTTAAACTGCCATTAGCGAGAAAGTCGATAGTATTGTTTTCGTTAAATTACCACCACACAATAGTGTTGTATAGATCGTACGGTAACTAATTAATAATTTGCTAATCGATATTATATTTAAATTCAAATAATGTGTCTTGCATCCTCAATGTGTTCAATTATTTTGAAAATGGGTACACATAGGTACATACCAGATCGCGTATACATTTTTAAATGTGAACACTGGCCTAACAACTTTCACAGTAGCACACCCTTCTCTCGTACTCGCGTGATGCAACCATGTCATCAACATACTTAGTAAAATATAGATATTCCCGTGGTTATTATAATTTAAGAATGGGATAATGTTCTATAATTATCAAAACAGTTTAAAGGTTTAATTCTACGCGTGTTAGTCTGCTCTAACTCAAAAAATAATAATTTAGACGCTATAATCAAAATATTATGCTTTGTAAAATTTTTTAATGTAATTTTTCAAAAGTATGTCTTGAAGACGTTAGTTGTCATACTTGTATTCATCGACGATATAAAACCCCAAGGTCAACTCGTTTGGCATAGGTATTTTATGTTGGTGCTATCTAAGGTTTAAAATACATATAAATATACTTAATAGCAATCTTGAGCGAGTTTTTGCAACTCATGTGCAATAGGCAATCGGGTAAGGCAGTTACTTATTAACCACATCTTTGAATTCGACGTCAATGGAAGAGAAAACGTCATCGTGAGTAATGAACACAAAACAAGACATACTTGAATACTATTTAGAAATATACTAAACAGTAGAAATATCTCTCTTCGTTTCCTTTTTTTACTTGGACTTACATTAAACTCCAATAAATTTGTTACTCTAATTTTAAAAGTAAAATTATTTGGTACAAAAGATAATTCGACTCGAAATAATTTTTTTTTAAGAAGAGATCCTTATAATTGACTTTGCTATATACTATTACGACATTAAGCAACAACGATCAAATAGATATGCATGCAATCCACGTATAAAAAAATTTAAAAAGTAGAATTAATTCAATTTTTTTACCAAAAAAAATGAATTTGCATTAGTATATTCATTTTAATAATTGATGATAATTTTTTGATTATCATTATTAAAAATAAAAATTAACCTGAGTATATTAGATTTTGAAATTTCCGTAAAGTAAATTATTTATAATAACTTGTGTTTGAAAATATTATAAATACTTTTATATGGGTTAAGTTATTTTTACAAAATTCTTTGTTTAATAGAAAGTTTATTATAACAACTAGGTTTAAGAAAGGCGCAGAATGTGTCATAATTATACCACCAACGTTTTCTATTGTTGTTATAGTACATTAATATTGTTAAAATAATAACGGATACTTTTAGATGTTTACTTTTTCATTACTACAATTGTATTTATAAAGTAATGAAAAAGTAAATATTTAAAAAGATAATTTAAATTTTCTTAATACGTCAAGGCTTGGGTTTATAATTTACCTAAACTTAATAGTAATCTAATTACAGCCCTTATCACTTATTAAACTTAACACGATTACATATTAATTATTGCTCTAGTTAATTACCAATATTATACGTTGAAATTATAATTTTCTATTTTGTCATTATGTCCAAAAAGTCAAATTTCATTAATTATATGTACGGATAATATCATTAAGTAATACATTTTATTTAGAGTTATTTTCTCGAGTACGCTATATTTATTTATAAATAACGTTCAAAATAATGACAGTTTAATTATGTACTATTTGTTTATGTGTGTTTAATACACAATATATTTTTTTTCAATATTATTGTGCTTAAACTATACTTAACTTAAGTTAAGTTAAAACCAATAAACAATATTATTTTCTTGTGCAAGAAAACTATTTGCAAGTGGCCTACGTCTTTTCAGTCATCCACAAAATGATGCGAGCTCAATTTAAGTTCTTTGCACAATAGATTATATTAGTATCCTACACTTCGATTTCCCGCGCTATTTCCTTTCGGAAAAACGGCTGAGATCAGACTGGCTAGTCGAAAAATAGAGAGACTTTCGCCAAATAAATATTTATTAAATATATTGGATATTAATTATCCAATATAATTTGTACGAAATTGTACGTTATTTATGAAAATTTGAAGTAATAGAACACATTGCAATCTAATCGTGTATTTTTTGAAGTCTTTTTATATATAAAAGAAATACCAATATTTTATAAGTGTTAGAATATTTGTATCATTAAAAGTATTCCACCGAAAATAATATTTCTTCTAAATACCAGCAATTTGGACTTAACTTAATCGATAATTTCACTTGCTAAAATATGAATTAAACAATTTTTGTGCTCTCTACGTATTTAGCTCTTCTTAAAATTTGTAAAACTTTGAGGTGTTATCACAAAACGATTGTATGACACACATTTTACACATGAATCTTCAATTTTAATACTACTTATTTCTACTTCTATAATTTATTATTGATGTAAAAATATTCAATATTATCCAAGAAATTTTGATTTTGTAAACGAGTTTCGTCTACGTGACAATAAAAATTAGAATTTTTTTTTTGTTTATTTATCTAACTTATTAATAACGTTTAGTTACAATTTATACATCAATGGCATAATAAGTAAATTTAATATTTGTTACAGTTTTTTATTTGCAAAAAATTAATATTAGAATTTTTTTCTATACGTAAATATCATTGGAATAATTAATAGAATCGTATCTGTTTATTTTTAAATTTTAGATATTGCTATATTTCTAGATGTAAATAATTAAAATTAATTAATTATGAAATGCTATTATTTATTACTTACATATAACGTATTTTGTTTTTAAATATAAGTATAGTTTAAATATGCAAATCAAAATGTTTTATTACGCGAAAAACACTCATCAATTATTTAACAATTAAGCTTTTTATTTTCAATTTAATATGTTAGAAAATTATTTAACGTTTCATTTCATATTATTATCTAGAAAGTAAAATTATTAGTTACGGATTTTAAATTTTCCTTTTTTTGACGTTTGTTAGAAAAATTATAGACGTGAACTCACTTTCATTATTTATTATATTTTAGAAAAACAAACCATAAAATATTTTCTTGTAAACTAGTTGTACATATTTAAGTTATGGAATAATACTTAAATGTAAATTTACCTTACAGACTTATTCTGTTATTTAAAAAGAGACGTTAAAATTAAAACGTGTAATTACCGAAAAAAATGTTGACAAGTAGTGTAGTAAATTTTGTTTGGCAATGTTAAATGCTTTGACGTGAAATATTACTTACAAATTGACATGAAAAATTTTATGCTATATTTAACAAGCTATTTAAATAGTGTAATTTGGTAGAAAATGCGTTAACATACCTCTCTTGAATAATAATAATACATAAATTTATAAAAACAATTATGTATATTTTAATCATTTCTCTTTTTTCAGATGAAATTGAAATTGATGGATACCAAATCCAATATGTATTATGACACTACGCGATAAAAAACATCAAGAGGTATTTTTTTTTCTTTATGTATTATTAACCGTTAATAACCATATTTTTAAATTTAAAACTTAACCTATATAATCACTTAAATATAAATTAAACTGATTACATAGATACTAATTTAACTAAATATTAACAAATTAAACTTATCAATATTAAATTAATTTGTTATAATTAGGAAAACATATATTCAATTAAATTTCATTAGTTTTAATACAAATGTATAGATCTTATTTCAAATTATAAGGTTTACTCACTACAGTAGTGGGTAAAAATTATTATCATGTATTCTCTCCTTGTCTTTTTCTGGTTCTATCTAAAAAAATTTTGAATATCATGTTGCTTCATTTATTTATCATACTCATCTACTAAGTGTGTATCATACACAGTCATCATAACCTAGACCAATTATAAAAATACGGTTTTGCTCAAAAATTAATTAAATATAGTAGGGCTGATTCATTACTTGTTTGTTAAGTAGTATTTATACTTGTATTATAGATAAAATATTTTAAAATTTTAGTTAAATAGGTGTTAATATTTATTAAATAACAAGTGCCTTTGATATTTATTATCAAAATTCTTTTAATTGTAAGAATAATGTAGAAAGTAGGAGAAGTTGACAACTTGAAGATTGTTTATGTCTTTAGAAAATAACTTTATACCTGTAATTTTTGTTTAACTACTCAGTTTTCTATTAAAAATGATCGACGATAAGTTCGTTTGAACCCTTTCTGTTAAAGTCTTATTGATAAAAAAAAACAGTTAATTTTTTAAAATTTATTTTATTAAATTAACACTTAATATTAATGTAATAATTGTTTTATATTTCTTATTGATAAATCATGCAATTAAAATAAATTTTTAAGCATCAAATTTATATCTGAACTTTTCTGTAAAAATAAATGTTATTTTATATCATTTATAATTTTTTATTGGAGTTTTAATATTTAATTTTAATTTATACCATTCTATTAGCTACTAATAAACTGATAAGGCCCTCATAGATTTATTTTTATTGGTCATTTTTCATTATTAAATTTGAATGAATATAATTCTTGAAGTTTCTTCGTATTCAAGCTTCAATTAAATTAAAATCTATTTATTTTTTTTTTATTTTTGAGAATTTTTATTTTATATATTTTATTGTAGAATTCATTTTCAACAAATTGTTATAACTCTGAATGATGATTTATAAGTACATGATTCTAATAAAATTCTATATTATTCAATATAAATAATTAATTAATATTTTTTTTAATTAAATGATCTTAATAAAAGAAAAAATATCGCATGGTTAAAAGTATTACTATGATTTTTGGGGACCATTAAGCCTGAATTAATTTTTACATTATTTTTTAGTAATTATGACATAGAAATGTTATGAAATATTTTTAGATTCCTAGGGCCAAGGTCGAAAAATATACCTATGTGTACTTAATTATTATACTGACAATGAAACTAAACTAATGTCTACCTTTCCGGAAAGAGATTAATTGTCCATTAAAAAAATAAAAAAGTGTCTTAGCATTAACTCTAAGGCTTCTCATAATATTTTTAATGATATTAATCTCTACATATTAATATATTTCCTGTTTGAACTACTTCACTATTTGCCGTTGATCATGACATTTGTTTCATAAGTTTATTAATATTTTTTACTTCTTAAAAATTTACATAAAAAACAATTCGCAAAATCAAACCTTGACCAAATTACAAAAAATGAATAATATATGTCTATACACATGACATCTCGATAAAACTTGTGGTATTATTACCAGTTTAGTTTTATTCGCATTATTTAAAAAAAGTTATGTCTCAAACATGACATTTTTCTTATTATTAGGTGCTGATACAGGACCACAGTTAAAAATGCCATGTTATGTTGTTTGCTATATATCTCCAACATGATTAATTTAATTTCGTGGAAAAAATTCTTTTTTTTTTTTGAAGGGGGATACCCTCTTGCACCGTTTATGAGGCTGGTAAAAATGAGGGACCTGTTTCAAAAAGCAGGACTGGTAAAAATTGTATTTTCAGATGCATATTTTGAGGCTTGGCCTGTTTAAGGTGGTAGTAAGAAACCATATAATTGTATTTTAAACGATTGTTTCATTAAATGTGTTTTTTAGGGCGGCGAGTTATCAAAATGCCGTCTATGCGAATGTTTGGTCGTAGATGGTTAATTGGAACGGATGATTTGGTGTTTCCTGGGCTGCTGGAATTATTAATGCGAGGAATATGGTAAGTTACTTTTTAAGTAGCTATAAATTGAAAAAAAATTACCTGCAAGTAAATAGTTCATAACCAGCTTTAGATATAATAGGCACATGCTATTGCGCAAGGCTCAAATTAAAAATATGTGCCATGTTATGCACGAGTTGAAATTTTTTTTTTTTTGTGACAAAATTATCTTATACGGTGCACTGAAAAACCCAAAGTCGGTACTTTAAATGTTCACTTGTTATGTTAACTTAATGATGTATAACTCTAATACAATATTATTTTAATAAATAGAAACACGACATTATTTCAAAACTGTAATGACTGATGAAAATTTATAATTTTTTTTACTGAGACGTGTTTTTAAATATTGATATTCATCCCATCAATAGATATTTAGTATTTGAAAACAATTTTCTTAAATATACAATTAAATAACCTTTTAATACGTACGCCACTCCGCTCTGAATTTTAAACATAAAAATGAATTAATTTTCTTTAGAACACGAATTCAATGAACTTAATGACTGTTCAAGTCATTAAAGGAGTGAGTTAAGAAATCTTTCAAATTTTACATTATTTAAACGTATTTAATAAAAATTGTATAAAAATTTGTTGAAATGTATTTTTTAGATTTAAATTAGACCTAATACAAAATCGTTTATGTTTTAATTTATACTTTTATAAATGATTAATTATTTATTTGCAATATGATGAATGAAGTATTAACTACGTACAACACAATCATCTTTCATTTGTAATTTTCTGTAGGGATTACATACATTTCTAATGTCAATTAGTTGTTAGTATTATGTATAATTTGCTAAGGAATTAAAAATACTTCAAGGTTATCTTTTTGTGACTTTCCAGTTTGGTATTCCTTCTATAACTTTTCGTTTAGTTAAAAAATCTATCTATTTAGTATTCATTTTCATTTGTATCATTTATACAGATTTGCCAAAAATATATATCGATATGTATTATTGCAGCCAATCATAATATTAATGTTTCAATTAATATTGTCATAATACTTTTAAGTGCAATTAATGTTTTTTTTTTAATTGTAAAAACTAACTTAGTGAGCCACGAAAAGAATGATTTAAATTAACAAGTACTTTCCTTTGTGGATTTCACTTCATTCAAACTAAATAAAATAAAAATCTGTACTTAACCATAATAATATTGAAATTCGCTTTATGACATGGTCTTATATAATTTTTTTTCCATTATTATTGATAAATATTTTCCACCCTGAGGAGTACTTTGCCATGTGCGTCAGTATTTAATTCGTATGTGTAATAATTATGATACATTTAAACCAAAATTGCCTTAAGGTTTTTCAAGGTAATTAAAATTTTCAAGTTTTCTCTTATATTTATTTAAGTAACATTTATTGCATATTTCAACGTCAAAACAATTAATAATGAAAATTAAGAAAGTACTCTACAGTTAATTTGCTTGATAAATGAACTTGAATAAAAACCTAACTATGAAAAAAATCAAATTCCACTCCTAAAAAATAGGAACAATGTTTTGAGCAACATTTCTCATTTATTCATATTTCTTAATATTTTGCCAATTTTTAATAAGGCATAAAACAAATGTTGTCACAATTTTCTATGAATCCCTTAAAAAGTTTTCAACCTTTTTTTCTTCGGAATTCTCTCTTTCCCATCACCCATGTAATTATTAAATAAGTACTGAACCAGTACTTATCAAGAAACTTGCTAAGTGTTAAGCAATATGATTAAAGGAGCAATATTGCTAATGAAGAAGGATTGAATTTTTTGAACTAAAAAATGAATCAAACTTGACCACAATGTAGATATTACTACCTTGATAAGCAAATTCTTTTATGGATAGGGTTGAAACTAGACCCTATTTTACAATTAGGTTTTTGTTGGGGATATAATTTTCCTTTTCTGGCTTAAGGAAGCAAAATATATAATTTTCACGAGCCACTAAATAATCAGAACGAGTACCTGCCCGCCCTGTCGCCAATATTGGACATATTGTCCAATATATGATAACAAAACAAAACTTTCTATACCAAAACGAAAATAAATATAGTAATAATACATTTTTTTTTTATTGGCTTTTATTGTTTAACTTGTATTATATTAATAAATTTGATATAATTCATTTAAAATTCTTGATTAATCAACTAGCAATACAGTTTACATGATCTAGGTAATACTTTCTCATCAGTGCTCTAATTTAAATAATCTTGAACAATGTTTTTAATCAATAAATATTATTTTACTTTATTCTTGAATGACAACCATATAATTCTACCTAGAAAATACTCCATGTTATAAATAAAAGGTATCTCTATGACTAATAATATTAGCTGAATGTTGCATCAGAGAACCGTCTTGTGTTCATAATAGTTGAAATTTATTTACTAATTTTGGGATAAGAAAATAAATATCTGACATTTCTGCTTTCTTCAAAATTATATTTGCATTGCTCATTATTTATACTTTGTAATTCAATTTATTGCGAGATTTTGTTCATTATTTAAAAAATGTTTCAACAATACTCTCTTTACTTAAAACGCCGACGTCGATTACAATCTACTTCAAAAAAATACTTAAAATTGTTGGTTTCGGCAAACGTTTCATTTGTACTTGTCATAATTTTAATTCGTAAAATAATTTTTCGTGATTTTTTTACGTTTTATAGTGTAGTTGTGGTTACTATATAGTATTTTTTTGCCGGAAATAATTATGATTTTGTGAATGTACTTTAATAGTAATTTTGCCTATTCAAGGTAGCCAAAGCGTAATTTATCTGCTTCAATCACTTGTATAAAGTATTTCAACTTAAAATTATTCGACAGATAATCGCCTTCAATCATTTCAATGTACATAAATTTACAATAAACATATAATTAAGATACGCATACATTTTTTAATCTTCTTGTAAATTTACGGATTATATTTGTTGACCTTCTCTTTGATTTACTGGTAAATAAAAATGAAACAATAAAGAAGGTATAAAATGCAACTTGAATTATTATGCAAGTCATTCAATGAACAAAATATGAAATAATCCATAGACCATTGTAAAACAAATAAATGATAATTGAGATTTTAAACAGTATATTGCATAATTATCATGATAAATAGACTATTAATAAAAAATACATTAAAAATTCATTGAAGTTTATTTCATACATAGTTAAAGTTTTAACTACATAAATCAATATCAAAGTCATATGTGTACTTGGAAAAAAATCTTGATTTTCGTTATTTAAGAACTTATAATAATTATTTAGATTATAAAAATCTTTGATGTAATTAGATTCTTAAAGTAATTATAAAATTAAAATTTTTTTTTATAATTTGTTAACTGCGTCAAGGATTTGGCTTGAAATAGTTTTAAGTACATAGTTAATTAAGCTAGCGTGCTATTCATCTACTATTGTATACCATACATAATTATTATTTTGTTAACAATATTATTACTCGATAACCGATTTTAACTTTAATTATTCAACTGATATATAACAAGGAACACCTTCCATGGAAATTATTTTCTATTTTAATGTTTTGTGATAATTTTGGAAGTAGAAAACATTAATGACTACTAAAAGCTAAAGGTCCAAATGGTCCACGAATATGTTTTTAATCTGCACCCAATTTCGTAGAATTGTATAGTATTGAACTATCAATTAGAATACAAATTGTTATGTACTCAATTAACTATAGTTTATAAGACGCCAAAAAGATACACTAAAATTCATAACAAAAAAATGAAACCTACCCAACCACATAACAAAAAAATACACTTCTAACTCACAAAATAAAGAAAACCAGAAAAACCCTATTAATATGATGGAATCGTATAGTAACTCACTGGGAGATATCAACCTTCAAGTGTCGCTAATTAAAAAAATACCTTTCAACCAAACCCCACCTTAGAAATGGAATTTCATCTTCAATACAGATTTACTCCAGTTTGACAAAAAAAGCATTAATACTGAAATAATTCGCGCTCAATTTTTAGACACTTGCAACACAAAATATAATAACTACGCACACATCTACACAGATGCATCTAAATCAGAACACGGAGTTGGCTTAGCATTCACCACCTAAAACACCACGTCCAAATTTAAAATACCTACAATAGCAAGCATTTTTAGCGCAGAGACATACGCAATACTTGAAGCAACTAAATTCACAAAATATATAGCAAAATATAAAATACTAATCCTGAACGATTCATTCAGTTTACTTACAGCTATAAAAAATCCAAATACTAAAAACGAACTAATTCATAACGTCCAATCCATATTAGTAAATACAAACAAAGACATAAAAAACATGTGGGTTCCATCCCATATAGGAATTATTGAAAACGAAGCAGTAGATACAGCAGCAAATGAAGCTGCCATATCATCTAGCATGGATATTCCTTCAAATGACGCAGTACACGAAATAACCAAAAGAATAAATCAAAAATGGTATAACATATTGAACGAAATACCCAACCAAACCCAACCTAACATCAAACTTGCAGAAATAAAAAGAACCACAAAAAATTGCATTTAAATGTAACTCTGACAAGAAGACAAGACGTTATCCTAACAAGAACTCAAATAGGGCATAGTTACCTCACCCACCCACACGTTCTAAACCACGAACGACAACCAATTTGCTCAACCTGCAATAAACCTGTCACCATTAAACACGTATTTATAGAATGTACCAAATACAACAACGAACGCCTTATATTCAAACTGCCAAACAACATCCTGAAAGAAAATAACGAAGAAAACATCCTCAGATACATAAAATTGCTAAACCTGTACTCTTTAATTTTATATGTAATGTTGCATAGACTTTTATTATTATTATAAACCGATTGTAAAAATTGTATAAACTAAACTTACATATAAATGTAACTATGGCTAATGACCACAGATGTCGAAGCCATAATAAAAGAAAAAAAAACTATAGTTTTTTTTTATTTTATGGTTATACAGTTTATTTTAATTGCAGTTATCCAATTTTTTTTAATTTGTTTAATGTTTTTGAATACTCGGACAGTTAAATTTCTTTATGTAAAATAATTGAACTATCCGTATTATTTGAGATTATCAAAGTTTTGAGTGTAATCAAGTAATGAAATTTGACAAGTTTATATTTAAATCCAACCTATTGAGAATTTTCTATAAGATATATTAACAACATTATTTAAAGCTATTCAGGGACGATTTTATAGAGAATTTTTAGGATAGAAAAAAATTTGGTGCTAATAAAATATTTAGGAAGATAAATTTTCCAAGACCTCTGATTATACTCCAACCCAACCTACTTGTTTTCAAGCATCGCTATCCAAAGATGGCGATTAAAAATTATTAGGACTGATATAAAATAATTTTATTGTTTTTGATTGTAACTTTACAACCTTAAATACTTTAAACATTTATCTTTTTTATACAGTATCGGATTTTTAATATTTTTCTGGATAGGGTCCTAAAGAATAAAATTTATTTAGAATACATATCAGAATCTTACCTTACATATTAAATAATGTAAAAGTATCGGTGTCCCCCGTAAATCCCTTGTTAACATTAAAGAATAGTTAAATAGAAAAAAATATATTTTACATAAAATGTTTATATTACTAGGTATTGAATCTAGACTTTACACTTACTTTTAATTTTAACAAAAATTTGAGTAAATCAAAATTATATGTAATTGAACATTTTAAACATTTTTATTTATTTTTACTTTACTTCAAATAATTCATTGAATATATTTTATATTTTTGTTATTATTATTATTTTTAGGTTGGCGTTAATGAGTTGTGCATTGTATCGGTATTATCATTGGACGTTCAATTGTGCCACCGGGGGTTTGTTTGTTCGGATTTATTTGATAGGTATAGTAGCCATGCATGCTATTATAATCTTACTGGTTATGTTTATGGTAAATCGAAGTGCTCAAGGTGCTATATATGATACAAAAGCTCGAAGGATCGTGCCGCGGCTCTTAATGATGAAGTAAATATTTATATTAAAGACATTTGTTTTTATTTATAATATACTTAACGTAAAATTTTTTTCTACATTTTTTTTTTCAGAATTTTTTTACTAATACCAGAAGTTGTACTTAATATATTTGGCACAATTTGGACCTACACGAAATGCATTCAGTGTGATAATGAGCACTTCACTAATTCAGTTGTTGAACGTAATAATAATTTATTTTATAAATCATATTTTACTGTAATGTGTTCTAAAATTCTTTGTCATTTGATTAGTTGGTGTATTGTTTAATTGGATTGTGCTTGGTGGTCTTATATTTGTACTAGCTATGGTATTAGATCCAGTAGGTTCCTTGAAATTTCAAGAAGGAACCAATGGAAATGCAGATGTTGATATGCTTTTACACCGAAAAATTACCCGTATATGGGTACGACGATTTAGATGGATTTTTTGTTGGTTAATAAGAGATGAGCATTCACGCGAAGCATTTTCACAAGCTGCTAGTATTATGAGTTCCATTTTTAGAAATACTGATATTATTCCTTCTGATTTTATTGCTGGTTTTGTATTGTTGAGAGTTAAACAAAAACGTGAATCTAGAGAGCAAAGACGTTTAGCTTTATTAGCTGAGCAAAGATATAATTGTACTTCTAGTAAGTAAAATGAAATCATCAAAAGTTATACGTGATTTTATATATTTTGTATTTTAGTCGTGTCTGAATGTTTTACTCAAAAACCCAGTTGGATGTGTCTTAAAAAAGCAAGACATTATCTCCAATTATCCATTTCAATTTATGGTTGGCCATTTTTAATTTATCGTTACTGTATAACAGGTTTTTTTAAAATGATACCAAAGTTCCTGTGTTGTGCTTGTTTTCGGTAAATTTATCATTTCTATATGTATTGATTTAAATTTTCTATTTACATAGTCATAATGTATAATTTAATATTTTTATCATTTTTTTTTTTAATTAGAACAAAACCTACTGTTATTCAAGAAGATAACTGTTGCTTATGCAACTTTGCAGCTGTTCGATATATGTCAAAACTCCATTCAAAAGATATATTGTATGCTTCATTTGTGAATCATATTTTTGAATTACCTTTTTTTGTAGCATTAGATCATGAAACAAGCAGTATAGTTATATCCATTAGAGGATCATTATCTATGCGAGACGTCTTTACAGATTTAACAGCTGTTGTAGAGAAATTAGATGTTGAAGGTGTTCCTCCTGACAGCTATGTAAAAAAAATTGTTTTATTATTTAAAGTGAAATTATTAACTTTCAACTATATTTTGACTTATAATAGGCACATAAAGGAATGTTACACAGTGCAAAATATATAAAAAGTGAATTAGAAGATCACAATATTATAGAAAAAGCATTAATTAACTTTCCAGAATACAATCTAGTAATTACAGGACATAGTTTAGGTGCTGGTACTGCAGTACTTTTGGCATTCTATATGCGTCCTATATATCCTAATCTCAAAGTATATGCATTTGCTACACCAGGTAACAATTTTTACTAAAACTACTTTCCTTTCAAATTCTATTAAAAAACATCATTATAGCTGGATTACTAAGCCGTGAAGCTGCACGAATAGCAGAGGAATTTACACTGTCTGTAGGTGTAGGTGATGACATGGTAATGCATTTAACTATTGACAATGTTGAAGATCTTCGTACAAATATGGTAAATGTTTTACAATCATGTCGTTTGCCAAAGGTATTTATTATAATTGATTTAAAAAATAATTTACAACTAAAAAATTTAATCTCTTCCAGTACCGAGTCTTTCTCAATGGTTTTGGATATGCTCTTTTTGGTGTTCCATCACGTGATCTAGAATCTACCTGGCGACATAGGACTCCTTCTGGAATCCGTAATTCTCCTTTGTTGTCCCAGAATTCTCCAGTTTTGTCTATGATCACACAAAATGATGGTTTTCCAAATGATAACATAAGCAATCACAACCTTGTTCAACCCATAGCCACTTATCCATTTGAACAACCTATATACCATCTAGTAATAATTATAAAATATTATTATATGTTGTTCTAAAATTTTTTAATTCTCTTTAATCTATTTAACTAAATAATAGGAAACCAGAAGATACTCAAAAATACGTTTGTATACTCCTGGTCATATATTGCATATAACTAAAAAGAAGAAAAGTAAAGAGCAGAAAAGAGCTGATAAGTATGTTCTCTTTTTTTTTTTCGTAAACAGAATAATATGTAATGCTTCGTTATTTTGTATCAGGAAATCAGGCACTAATAGTAATGAATATAATTATGAAATGAGATGGGCATCTCCAGAAGATTTTAAAGAACTTAGAGTTATGCCACGAATGTTTTTGGATCATCTACCAGAAAATGTTTTAAAAACAATTGATTGTGTTCTTAAAGAACAAAAAACTGAAATTGGATTTGATTTAGCTCAATTATCTATAATTTAAAAGTATTTAAGTGATTTTTACCCTCATAAAGCCAAACTTGATAATTTATACTCAAAGTTAACTACTTGCAAGTAAATCTAAGAGTTATGTATTATTTTCCGACAAGGCTGTCAATTTTAGTATTACAACAACAAAATTGTTTAAGATTCTATCTGTAGAATCAAACTTATTCCTACATTTATTGTACTTAACAGTATTTTATGAAAGATCTGATTACTTAATGTTTTATCATTATGTCTTAATTAATTAATTGTGTGTTTTTATGTAAAATATTGTTATAAATACTATTTTTTTTTTCACAAACATTTCTATATTAACTTTTAAAGTTAGTTAATAACCTACTGTAATAGTAATCTTTAAGCTTTTGCTCAATTTTGTATTGTTATCATAAATATGATATCTTTTTGTTATATTTTTTTATTCTATTATAAAAAATTGACTACAATCAAGTCTTTGATTTCTTAAAATAGTAATTTTTTTAACACTTTAATGAGTATAAATCTATTTTATATGTTTATTTCTGTAAATGATATACTTAGCTTAAATCAAATATATTCAATTAATTGTTTTTTTATATTATTATTTATAAGAGATACCTAATACATAAATTGGATGATGGAACTAAAAACCCTGTGATAACTATACTATTTAAGTCTTAATTAAATATTTTTAATGTATATAAAAACTTATCTAAAATTATATTAGGCGTTTTTCTTATGTAAATTATTACGGTTAAATTTTAATAGACTCGAGGACTCATTTAAATAATAATATTTGTTAAAAAAAATTGTATAAAAAAGTATTTTATAATTTTTTTCAGAAATTGTATTTTATTATTATCGTTATAATATGTATTAATATTAAAAAATCAATATGTGCTCAAATGTGTGTTACTGTGGTAACTATGTAAACAAGACAATAAAATACTTGTTTTTTCTTACAATAAAAGGGTGTTTACCAAAAATTAAATTGCATTTTTGATTAATACTATGGATAAAAACAAAGTTCTAAAGCTTGATAATTTAAGCATACAGCACACACTTAGTGAATGGTGGCATAATAATGAACAACAAATTAGAGCAGCTGAAGATCAACAAGAATGGGCTCAACGATTAACATCTGAAGCAGAACGTTTGATATATGAAACCCATGACTCAGTGATAAAAAACAAACTAGAAATTGATCATCAGTCTAAAGTAAAAGTAAATGACATAGAGTTTAAGAAAAAAGAAATCCAAAATAAAAAAAACGATTTGGATGAAGAAATTAATATGCTTTTGGTTTACGAAGAACGTATAAAAAATGCCAACAACTCCCTTGTTGGTGATGCTATGGACATTATAGCAGAGTGTCTTAAACTTAGGTAAATTTACTTATGTGTAAAAAAATGTTCTTATATTAGTATCACCCTCAAATATTTTTCAGAATGGAACCTAAGGGGCTATAAGCTTCAGAACCTGTAGGAAAAAATTTTTCTCACTATGTATATTTAAATAGGGTTAAAATTTTTTTTTTTTTTTCAATGAATATGATAAGCTAATTTTTTTACTACTCTGCATATTGAGACCTAATTGAGGGAGGGGTTATCTAAATTGAACTTTTTATATAGTATTTTTATTCTATAAAAACCCAGAACAGTGGTGACGTGGCATAGTTGCGTCAAGTATAATGATATCTGACAGTGATTAAAATCACTATCAAAATAAAACGCTTCGATGCAAATCTTTAGATAGTATTTAATTTTAAAGAAATTGGTGAATTATTCCAAAAGCTACATGATCTGCTATTTCCTTATTTATATCCTGATTAAGATAAAGTATGTCAATTGAAAAAGGTATACAAATATTATTTCTCATAAAAAAATTGTGTTGATCCATACACTTTTCAATAAGTTATAGCATTAAAAATTTTAAAAATAAAATCGAGTATTTTCGCACAAAAATAGCATTTGATAGCCATTTTCACCATGAAGACAAAATAAAGTCCGAAATTTTATTTTCCATAATAAATTATATTACATTAGCTTTAATTTAAAGTATATATAAAAATGTCAGTATTTTCGGAACACTTTCAAAAGTTTATTTTTTGTGAAAAAGTTATCACTTTGAATCCCGCCCTGTGAGCAGGTAAAGGGTCAGATTTATAAAAAAATATACCAAATGAAAGGTAAAGACATCATGCATCTATAAAAAAAATTATATTGATTTGGTTATTTTAAAAAAAGTTATGGCAGTTTTAAGTAAAAAAAATTGAAAAAATGTCAAATATTTACCGATTTTTAAATTTGTAATTTTTTTGAAGATTTCCTCCATTTATGGGGAACGAGGGAAATTTTTTCAATTTTTGAGGATAATGTCTTCGACTAGATACGATTTGTGATCTTTTGGCGTATCGTTAAAAGAGATAGGTTTGGTGAGAACTGAGTAAAAGTGATAACAGACAAAAAAGAAAACACATCATAGTAAAAAAAAACCATTTCAGCTTCGCATCGAAGCTACAAGTAATTTAGCCTATGGGCGTTAAAAAGCTAAATACAATACTAGCTATTAATGGAACTTCATTATTTGTTAGCGATTTTGATATTTATGCTCTCGCTCTTAAACTTATCTTTAAATACCAACCTGGTAATGCACTCAGTAATTTCATTCTTGCAATGTGTGGGTATTGTTTTTTAGAAGAATCCTTAATTATTAATTACCCATTGGTCGTTTAATGGCTAACCATTTATATATTAGCTTTTTTCAATTTTAATCTTGGTGGAAAGGTTCTATAAACTAAATTATTTGATTTTATATGTAAAAAAGTAATCATAGTTATTTTTAGATTTAAGATTTAGTTTTAGTTGTTAAAGAGATAGGCAAGAACTGCCCGTGCACTCAGGCCTGCAGATCTTTTCCTTCACATAAATTTTACCACCGCAGTGTTTTTGCCGTTATTTGAGTACTTAATATATGTAGAACATCCTACAAGGCACTCCTTTAAATGTTCAAAGAATCCTGTTTCTCTGGCAAATTAAGTGTATCTTTGAGTTTTAAGTTTTTGATATCTTCTTTTTCGAGAAAATCTTTTTCCGAGATTTTAGATCGTAATGTAGCTAAGTATCACATACTCACATAATTTTATTTGAATCTTCCTCTTCTATTCTATATTTCCTGCACAGAAATGATTCCGTCACCCTCATTGTGTAAAGATGTTAAAGCAAATGACCGAATGTACTATTAAAGTGCTTATTTGATGTGTAGTCATGTTATTAAGATTTCTCAGTAATAGACTGAAAATCTTGATTGTCTAGGTACTACAAAGCATCATTTTTTTATTTTAATAAATATGTATTTTGTTTTTAATTAGAAAAGAGCGTATCGGTATTGATTTAGTATTTGATGATGTCGAGAGAGAACTATTACGGGAACGATTATTAATCGTAGGAATTAACGACCAACTAGAAGAGTTATTAGATAAAGTAGTTCTTCAATTAAGAAAATTGAGGTCATTTGCATACAATTTATCAGTAGATTTGGAACATAAAGAAAACGTACTGAAAATTGAAGCCCATAATGAACAACTTTCAGATAATAGTATTGAAATTTCAGTTTTAAATTCTAAGCATATGTTTCTTCCGGCGTTAGTATAAATAATTATTGGCTAAAGCTTAGTTAAGTTAATAATTAAGTAAATTATACTTTATTTTCATATATTATTTTGTAGTAAAATTTCAGCTGAAGAATGGGATCAATATTCTTCAAATATTATAGCTGCGGCTAATAAAACACTCGTAAATGGCAGACCTCTAAGAGCTTATTTTGACAAATGCCTTAATAAAATGATCGAAGACCTCGTAGACCAAGCTAACATCGTCAACGAAACATTGAGACAGCGAACAGAAGAATATCGAGAAATAATTGAAAAACTTCATCAACAACAAGGCGAAGTGTGTATTTATGGTTATATTTTTAGAGAGAAAAAAATTATGTCTAGGTGGTTTGGATTCCCCTTCTACACATTATAATTCATTTTTATACTTTAAAGGTTAAATAAACCATAACCTTGACAACGTTAATCTCTTCTATTAAATCATTTTTTACTCGACTTTGCATCCTAGATTTATATTCTAGTGGATTATTTAGGAATATGTTATGGAGGATCTATACAATTAACAAAACGTTGAGTAATGAGAGATTCACCCTTCTACTATTTCCACTACCATGACTTTATGCACATGGGAGGCTAGGTCACAAGAACTCTTCATTAATACATTACTGTTATGTTTTTAACTAAAACAACCCATATTATAATTAAATTGACTGTTATAAAATAAGTTTTTAAATGTGTTCAGGTATTTGGTAAAATAGAAGATGTCCAGGAAACTATTAATAAATTACAGAAAGCTATCGATGATAAAGAAGCGTATATAGCTTTGGCGCACACTCGCCTAAAAAACCGTACACTGAGAAAAGGAATAGAACTTTGTAGAGATGAACTTGAAGTGAAACTACACGCTGAAGTCGCAGAGCTTGAAGAAAATGTAAAACGTTTACAAGAAATGTTAGCTAATTCTTTGGAGTGTTTAAAAAATTTAAAACAGTCGTCAGTTCGAATTGAAACTCAATTGAAAATTAAAGAAAACTCTTTGTATATAGATAGTGTATTATGCGTCAAACAACGAAACCGTATAAATTTTCAAACATTTTAATTAATCTAATTATTTTGTAAAAATAAAGTCATAGTTTATTAACCGATAATTTGTGATTTCTTTCTTAATTAGATACTACACAGAGTGTTCAATAAGCAAGGGAATAGGGAAATTGTTATAAATAATGAGAACAATAGAAACCCGTTTCCTTACTTGCTGAACACCTAGATATACACTAGCACAGCAAGAATTTTTTTATTTTGGCTGGAGGAGTATTTTCTTTCATGAATATTTGATCACTTTTTTCTCCCCAATGCTATTTTTTTTTATACTAGTAAAAAAAATTCACTTGAAATTTTTTTAGTAACCACTAAAAAGTTATACACAACTAAAAAATTCTCATTGATTCTGCTTTACTATATATTTTGAATAATAATAACTTTGGAACAATTATTTGTTGGAACTAGAATTTGTCAAAAAAGATAGTAATCCTGGAATAATCACAATATCTGAAATCTTAATAAAGTTTTCTTTTTTAATCAAATTATTAATTTAATAACCCAACCAATCTTAAAGATAATTTTTATAACTTAACGCAAATTTTAAGATTAATCATTTTTTTAGTCATAATTTTTTTATTAGATTAAATTGGGGAAAAATAATACTTTTGACCGCCCGGTGGCTGGAGGCTATTAAGGGACAACATTCTCCCGGTTTCGATAACAACAATATCAAGTTATTTGTGTACGACGAAATAATTTAATGTTGGTTTCAAAAAGGTTTGTGTATTTCGTTTCAAAAATTGTTTAAAATGCAAAGCACAAAACTTCCTATGTTATCGACTCGTAATTTTTTGTCACACGACAGAAACACATCCTTTTGTATACAATTTATATAAATCTTAAAAATCCATGTTTGTTAAAAATAATAATTTTGGATATAAGTTACGTAATTAATTTTATAAGTTAGTATAAATATATGTATAAGATGTTTTGTGACGTACTCTAACAGAATAAAAAAAACGGTACTTCTGCCACCAAACTTTTATTATCAGCGACGGGGCTTCCGATTGATAAGTTTTTATCAAAAGGTTATAACTTGAATTCTTTTATCTGAATTATATTTTATGTTTATTTCATTTAAAATACGTAAATACGTAAAAAAGTGCGTATCTCTACACAAGTTGATAGTTATCTTTGTTTTGTTTTGTCATTTGTCAGAATAGTAAATTGTAATTTCAATTATTGATTATATAATAAAAAAAAACTAAATAATTAAATAGTTTATTGCAATGTTTTAAAATTGTGATATCTTATAATATTTGAATAATGAATGGTCAAGAGGAAACTATTACTATCTTAGATTTGCCTACAGAGCTCGTCATATATTTGTGTTGTAGTAAAGATATATCTGTTGAAGATATTAACAATTTAGCACTTGCACTTCCAAATTTTAATAATATTTTATTTGATGAACAAAACACCAAAATGTGGAAAATAAAATATTTTCAAAGGTATTAGTTTTAACAAAAATTTATTTTTGCATTAGTGTCATTATCTACTTTTATAATGAAAATTGATAGGTATGGAACTATAGATCTAAATGAAATTAATATTGTAATCGATGAACAAAATAGTTGGAAAAGTGAACTTTCTCTTCGTTTGAACTTGGAACAAAAAATTCCTTTAGAAATTTCAATTATGCCATGTAAATTCATGAGGTACAAAAATGTACCATTTCATTTGTACCCTATGAATGAAACTTTACATTCTACTAACCAAGCTCATTGTTACTATGTTGTATCAGCTATATCTAAATATTACAAACAACTACAAAATAGTAAATAGTAAGCTATTTTCTTTATTATTATTATTATTATTATTATTTTTTAAGACATGAATATTATTAAAGGTGTTTTTTTTATTTCATATGTAAGTTAAATTAAAATTGTTTAACATGTTGATAATTATTAAATATTCTATTTATTTTGAATAGACTATTATATTTATATAATAGAAGTCACTTAATTTTTATTAATGTTAAAATTGTTTAAAGTAAATTGGAATTGTTTTAAAAAATAATTATTTATTAATTTAATATCACCCATGACAAATAAATAGTATGAATCTTAAAAAAAAGTCTGGAGAAAAAATTACGAGTATTAAAAACTTTAGAAATAATGATCGGACAAATTCGTTAATAAGAAAAAATTATCATTTTTACATAATTATGTTAATACCTTAATATCTTATATGTAAACTAAGTATTATTAAAAGAAAAGACAATAATTTAAAATATATCTTATAGTTTTTATATTTGATACACTGTTCACCATCCTTAAATCATACTAACTATCTTATGTTATTTACAACAAATTCTTGTTAAATTTTATGGACTAATACTCAAGATGTTGGGTGGTTTTAATCAATTAACTTAGAAAATCAGATACATATTTTGTTAATGTCACCTATTTTTTCATTAATTTGTGATGCACAGCATACTTATAGCTATTGTACATCATTTTTGTCTCTCTTTTAGATAAAACAAACTCAACAGTTTTAGTTGATAGTTGTCGTGATAAGATATTGTTGTCAGGGTTGGTTTTTTTTTTGCTGGTTACTCTAAATTTTTAAAAATATTTTTTGGGTTATTCTATTCTGGAACATTTTAATAGTAAGCATTTTTTTTTCTAGATGTTTTTTTCATTTACCAAATCATAGATCAATTTTATGTTGTAAAAATTATGTAATTAATTGTTCTCTTAATGTATGTTATCTTTTTGTTATGAATTTATAAAATTAAATTTTTTTTAGCTATAATGAAAACAAATTTAAATCTAGTGTTATTAAGTTAATTATTAATTACAAAATTATACTTTTTATACTATTATTTATTTTATCATTTTGTGAATAATCAGTTAGATATGACAACCATCAATGCAATGGAAGTTTAAACCTTTTTTTTTTTTTTTTAAAGTAATGAGTAATAAAGTCTTTTGCTAAAAATGTAGGAAAAATTTTATTCTAAATACATATAAATGCATATTTATCTCATGTACCAATTAGGCATGCTACGGCTCTGTAATTATATAACATACAGTCAAAAAATAATTGAAATATTTTAAAACTCATATTTTTATTTATATTTACTATTTAATATTTTGATTTTTATATTGATATTTCATGTAGTTGCAATGATAAGTTTGATGAATTATATATGGCACATCATTTTTTAATATACTCCAGTCAAGTTTTTTTTGGATATAAATTAAAAGAATTTTTACAATTACCTCAATTATTACAGACTATTGAAAAAGGGTTTTATTTATTGGGGCGATGGTGGAGTCCCACAATCGATACTGTATACCAAGAAATAAGTAATGTTCTTCATTATACATAGATAATACTTTTATAAATGTGTTTGTTTAATTTATATTTGGTTCTTTTTAATATTTAGACAATTACCTAAACAATATAGCTCATTTAGTTTGTAATTTAATTCAATCAACTAGTCCAAATCATCCATTATTACAACAGGAAAATTATAGAAGTCAAGTAATTAAACGAGGAAAATTTAATTTGGAACATGATTTATTTGATGAAATCAATACTATTATTATACATGATGGCATTAAACAAATTATGTTTGAAGATTCTCAACTAGTTTGTTATTGTAATCATGACATCAATTGTTTTATATTACAAAAAGTTTGTGCAATAAACTCTATAATTTTATTTATTAATTTACTACAATTTTGTTCTTTTTTTAGGTTATTGAAAGAAATAAAGGATCAGTCTTTCTTTTATGTGTTATTTATGAGTCAATAGCTAGACGACTAGGTGTAAAAGTCAGACTAACTGCTACATCAGTTCATAACTTTGTATCATGGTCATCATCATGGCCTGATCACAAAGTCAATAACCCAACTTGTTATTTAATAGACATAGCTGGTGGTGGTGCCATGCGAAAAGCAACCGTTTGTCCAGTATCAAGGAAACTACCAGAACATTTTAATGGCAATTCTGTAACTGATGTAAGTTATTACCAAAATTCTTATTAAACCTTACATATTGCTAAGATAATTTAATCAATAAAATTTAAAAAAAATGATCTAGCTACATTTTTTTTCATTTATGAGTTAAAATATAACTTATATAAACAATATATTTAAGTACTTAAGACTTAGGTTAGGTCATAATCTTCTTCCTTACCATGCATTCCATCTTTCCTGAAATTCAGTTTCCTTCTGTCCCCTACATGATAGTGAAGCTCTATGCAATTTTTCTCATCTTCTCTTTGATTGTCCTGCCCTAATTAACAGCAGAAGTAAACTATTTAGCGTCTTAACCTCCCACAATATTAATCCCCCTTCCATAGCTAATACTCTTAATTCCCGTTCTTCCATTATATCTTTCTTGAGGAGTTCCGGCTTTGTCATTTAATCTCTAATTATTTTATTATTATTATTTTGTAGTTTTTTTTTTCTCTTCCTTTCTTTCAATTAAAAATTTTAATTTAATAATATTTCAGTTTATCATTAAAGGCTCTGTTAACAATAATTTTAAATAATGTTTGATTTTTTTTTAATTTTGAGTATACTAACAATTATTGCCGCATTTGTTGTACCGTTATAACATAGTATTATGACTGTTATACTTTTTAATTTTACTTATAATTGTTGAGCTAATTATTATTTTAATAAAGGCTATTAAAATATATATATATATATATTTTCAAGTATACTTATATATGCTTAAACCATCAAATGAAACTGGAATTTTAAAAAATCAATTATATTACACACGAAAATATTGGGAAAAAATAAAAAATTCAACTTAAGTAATTTGTGTTACTATTAACAATTTAAAAAAAAGGTAAAAAATTATAGTAATTTATTATTTTTAAAACTTTAAATTTAAAACTTGTTTTTTAAATTGAATAAAAATTAATTTTCTATATTTTATGTATTACATTTGTTTATTAGAATTGTTAGGTAGTTGGATAAATAAATTTTCAAAAGTATTTCAAACATAAATAATTAATTACACATTTTATTTTAATTGCATCAATTATATTTTTAATACAGTTATACTAGGCTATGTAGGTTTTTCTGTCCTCTATGGCACAAGAAATAGCTTTAAAGGGGACATTAAAAGTAATGTGAGTGATAACAATGACTAAATAAATAATATACAAACTGTAATTTACTAAAATACAAAAAAAAATATACTTTATAAAACTCAATTGAGATAAAAGAAGGAAATAAATCAAAGAATATAATATATTCATTGATATACAGGGTGATCGAAATCTGGTAAGACACTTATTTTCTCAGAAATTATAGAGAATTTAAAATTTTTGCCAAAAGAAATATTATTAAGTTTATAAAACTCTACAATAATATGAAGTTAAATAAATTTTTTTTCATCCCTTCAGGAATAAAAATGTTTATTTATAATTTTTTTAAATGGGAACCAATATTTTTGATTTGATAATATGATAGAAAAAAAAATTTCAAACAATTTTGTTCTTATAATTTTTTTTTATCCAAACAACCGTTTACGTTTTATAATTGTTTAAAGATTTTGACTTCCAGAAAAAATATTGTTATTTATTACGTTTAATTTGGCCTAAAATCACTTAACTTTAACAAGCTGTAACGGACGAACGGTTAATCGGATAAAAAAAATAATAAGAACAAAATTGTTTGTAATTTTTATTTCTATCATATTATAAAGTTAAAAATAAGGGTTCCCATTTAAGAAAATTATAAATAAGGGTTTTTATCCTTTCAAGGAGGAAAAAATAATGGTTTGACTACATATTATTGTAGAGTTATTTGAACTTGATATTTTTTCTCTATAATAAAATTTAAAATTCTCAATATTTTCTGAGAAAATGAGTGTCTGTCTTACCAGATTTCAATCACCCTGTATATAATTATACATATTATGTGTATTTTATATGTAGCACACAATATACAGAGTGATTAGTTTATCATAAACCACTCGATTGCTCGCAAAATAAATACAATATTGAAAAAAACATTTTAATTTCTTTTAATTACATGTCAATATGCACAACCAATAAGGCAATAAATCACTATCTCACTTTTCAGGATATCAAAAATAAAAATTACTTTCTGGTTACACACTTTATGTTTATCAATTTTCTTAATAGGTTAATTCTGATTCAATCCAAATTGTTGATATTTTGATGAAAGTTATTATAAGAAGACTAAAACCTACATTCAAATACCTCTATGAATTTTTTTGATTTACTACCTTATTAGTTGTGCATAGCAATATATTTCTTAATTTATTAGCTATTAATTTTACTTTTTAGAATCATCCCTTACAGGAATGTTAACTTTATTTTTTTTTAATGGAAACATACATATTTAACTAGCTTATAAAATAGAAAATGATTTAATTAAAAAATATCTGGTCGATAACAACTTTTGGTCAAGTATTTCAGAAGTTACTAACAATTTAAAGTAATGATTGGAGGTGAGAAGTGAGTGCTTCTATTTTTATCATTAATCATTTCCCAGTCATACTCTTCATCTCCCCTAGATATAAAAATGATCATATATACTGAAGTACTGTTCCAAAAGTTGTTATCGACCAGTTATTTTATATATCTGTATAATATATATACATTTTGTATATCTAAATATATATATGTAACCAATTTAAAAAATAAATATGACACCTCTTTAAGCTGTAAGTAATGATTCTAAAAAGTTATTATTCGCTGAAAAATCAAAAGATATATGTAAAATAGAAATTAAAATTTTTTTTCCAATATTGTATTTATTATGCGAGTATTCAAGTGGTTCACAATAAACCAATCACCCTGTAAATACCTACATATATTTTTTTTTAATATATAAAAATTATATTTTGAGTAAAAATTATTTTAATAATTGTTTGATTTTAATTTATATTCTGATAAAATTATCTTTTACAGCAATAATTTCAGTCCTACTAATAAATTCTTAATAAAAAAAATAGTTAACTTCTCAATAAAATTTTTCTTATAAATAAAGTTTGATTATTTATTTTGGATTACTTGTAGTAATTCTTGAAGACTTACTTGATTATAAAATGAAAATATTAGTTAATTTTTTTTTATGGCAAATATACTTTGTAGAAGTTTAAAAATACTTTTTACAACTGGCACACTCCAAGCTTTACCCAATAGTTTTTGACGATCATTTATAGATAAGTCTCCAACATCAGTGTAGTGTGCTGTAAATCCAAATATTTTTTCTAGTTCAGTAATATATAATCCCATGTTTTGACCATTTTGGTTGACTGGGTCTCTTGAATTACCTATGTATTATATAGAGTAAAAAATAAACAATTTAATAAAGTTAATTTTCATAAAATATTTCTCAAAGAAAATAATTTTATTTAAAAATATTTATGATTTAGTCTGCAAGAGAATTCTAAATTTTGAGTGTCTTCAAGACTTTTAGATCATAGGTTATTTCTTTTTACAAATTTTATTAAACCTGTAGATAGAGCATATAGAGTGATTCATGAAACTATTGAAAAGTACATTAAAACTGTCAAATACTCCTCATCACTTACATCCAGTAAGAAATTATCTGTGTTTTACTTTGACAATCAAATTCATTTGGAATATACTTTTAAAATTTATTAAAAAGATTTAAATAACTATATAACAAGTTGTAAAATGATTCTGTATTGATTATCTGTGACACTGTGTACCTTCATAAAACTTTTTCAAACATTAAGTATAACCTCTCTATTAACATGATTAAGAACAGACAAGTATCAGAAAAAATATAATGACACCACTACCCACCTGCAGACCCTTGAAAATGGTGCAATCTAGACATCAATGGTACTCACATATATACATAATGAAACATATTTCAATGACAAAATTATACCTTTTGATAATAATCATTTTGCTGTTATTTTTGTTTTAAATAATTATAGCCTTAGACTATTTTTAAAACATATTAAAGCCAGTTTAGTTTTAGCATTTACAAAAATTATTAATAAAAATTTTAGGTCAAATACTTATTGTGTTACAAGTATTTTAATATATAGTGTGAGTATGTATTGAGGACAGATAATGTATTATAAATATACATTAGTATAAGTTGTTACCCTCCCTTGCACCTTCCCAAACAATATATTAAAATGCTTATAATTCAATAATTGTTCTTCCTAAAATTGTTATTGACCAATTGAAATGTTTTGTAAATAAAATTTTAAAAAATAATATTTTGACATTTTCAAAAATTACTTTATATTTTTTTTATTATTAAAAATAAATAATAAAAAATATGCTTTTAATATAATCTAAATATGCAAAAGTTGTTTAAAAAAAAATTACAGTGAATTGTTTTTTAGATAAGAAAATTATAAGAGTTTGTTTCACTTTGTATATTTCATTTTTTTATCATTTTATTGATCTAAAAAAGTTTTATTCAATTAAATTCTTAATAAGATTCTATCAATCTTACCATCTTGTAAACAATTCCTCTTGGTTGTAATTGTACCTATTTTATTTACATTTGCTTTTCGTCCCAAATTTTTATCTAAATATTCATCTAAAACTGGTCCATAATTGTCATCTGTTGAATGAGTACACTGAAGACTTTCAATATTTGGTATATTAGACCAAAAAAATCGTCGTCTGCGTTGTGGTGTTAAACTAAATGAGTCTAAGACATATGGATCACATTCTAAAAATCTATAAATTTTGTTAACATAAACATAACTATTGGAAGTTTATACAAATACTATTTGATTAACTTTACTGTGAGATGATGTTTTTGTGCTTTAATTCCATATTGGCAACATTTTCATACATCCAATAAAATGTAGAATTCTCTTTGATTTGTTTTTTTTTCAACAAATTCCATATTCGATAATATTCAAAAAATAGCACTCCTGTACCTGTTGCATCTAATAATTTAAAATACCTTATCAAATTATCTTTTTGAGTAATATTTGTTTATTATTCAGACAATTATTACCATATAAACCTTTTTTACGGTGATTTACACATGACAGATCCGAGCACGGAGATCCTCCCATTAGTAAATTTATTGGTCCTATTTTATCCAAAGTCATTTCATCAATATCTACAACTGATCCTAGTTGATTTATTTCACTGCCAAAATGTGACCAAGTCAATAATAATGCATTAGAATCAATTTCACTGGCATAAAATACTTCTACATCAAAATCTAGTTGTTTTAAAGCATAATATCCTTAAAATAAAATGAAACTATTTAAAAAACTTTACTTTTTATTTTAAACCAATTTTAGTATTACTGTCATAGTAATACTAAAATTGATAATGATTATCATTATTATTTTCTCTTTTGTTAAAAAACTTAAATCATTCAAAAATTTAATCAACTGTTATTAATTTTAGAATATTATTATTTTAGTGCATTTCAATATATTTAAACTTAACTTATTTTATAGAATTATAAATTATCACTTTTCATACCAGTGCCAATGCCATCAAAAAGAGATAGTACTCTTAGCCGTGGAAGATTTTTTTTTGAATTAGATTCTTCTTTACTTTGTAATTTTAAAACCTAAATTTATTATAATATATTTTTAAACAATTTCAATCGAATTTTAATAAAACAATAATTTTGGGATGCCATTACAATAAAACATAATACTCGGCCAAAACGGCATGGTTTTATATAACTTATACATTTATAAAACTAAGCTATCACAAATTTCTAATGACTATAAAAATGCATGTTTTATAGTTTAAACAATAATTTCTGAATAGTTTTAATAACAAACCTTAGATTTATAACAATCTTGTAATGTTCTTTTATCACTCATTTTGATATTTCTAGTATATTTATTTATAAAATATTTACTCTTACTAATTTTTTGATTGGTTAAAAAAAACTACTATAGTATAGTTATAAACTATAGTTATTTAAATTTTTTTAGTTAAACCCTAATACATATTATATATTATAATAAAAAATAAAATCTATTTATAGAAAAAAAAATACAATTTCAATACTTAGATAAGTAATTATCAGATTACAAGTTTTTGACAGTATTGATAATCTTCCACTTTCCCAGATTGTTGTTTACTATTTTTAAAGTACTAGTCTTTAGTTATTGTATATTATCAATTTAATAATGATAATGATCTGTCTACAATATAATAAAAAAAAAAAAAACAAATATGTTCATAGAAATTACATAAGTTCCTTTTTTTATTAAATACAAATTAATATTAATCATAGTAATGTTTAAAAGAAAAATTTGTAGCCCTATTAACTATCTATATGCAATTATTGAAAATCTGTAATTGTATATAAAACAAAGTAGACGCGAATACAAGGATGATATAGAAACATTGACACACCGGATTATAATAATTTTTTAAAAATAAAATCTTTTTTTAATAAATAACTCATAATGCTGCAAATAGTGAAATTCTTCTCCTGTAAAATTTCATCTCGCCTGTATATAGACTAACTTTTTAAAACAAAATTTAAATGTTCTTCAAAAGATTACTTAATGTCATTTTGATGAGAATTATTAAAAAATTATTGACTTATGGATTTATGTTGCTAGTATACTTTTTTCAGCTCTTTTGGACATTTAGTAAATCAATTGAACAACTCACTGTTGAAAATATGACAACATATAAAAATGTTTTGGATTTTCAAAAATTATTGAAACCAGATGATGCAGAAGTTGAGTTTAAATGCCAAAAATTTCATCAATATTATGATTTTTGCAGGTGCCCATTAATTAGAGATTTGTCAAATCCAACTGTAAGTGGATATTAATATAATTTGAAAAATAAACATTGTAATCATTAATAATTAATTGATAATCCATTTTAATTAGTTCAATTTTTTAGGCCCCAAGACATATTGATGAGAAAAATATTTTATATGCAGATGTTAGTAATTAACATTTATTTAATATTAATTTTTTTTTGTATTTAATTTATAAAAAAAAATTTCTAGAATGAAGAAATTTTTCCATCAGTACCAAAAAAACGTGGCACTGCTAATGACCCTAAGTATGCTGTTGGTATGATGATTGACACTGTTGCTTTAGGAAATACTAATGGGACAAATATAGTGACTAAATGTGGAGTAATAGTGGGTTGGACAATTGTGTCAAATACAAGTTCCCTTCCTAATCCAACCGTTTACCATGTACTTATTAAATCCGACCATTACCTTAATGCAGAAAAATACCAAAATCCAGTAATAAAACCTGTATGGGAAGGACGATGTGGTATATATAATAATTATTTAATTATATTTAGTACTTAATTTAATAAATATTTATAATATATTTTCTTTTTATATAACTTTTTTGTTTTTATGTAAATATGTTGGTAATTCACTATAATGAAATACTTTTTCAAGAAGTGATGGGGAAATTACTTTTTTTAAGTTATTTAAAGGGAATTATACACAAAAAATAATGCTAACAACTTTATGAATACAACCTATTGGAAATAAAAAAAATTATTATTCAATTAGTTTTAATATAATATTGATATATACCCCAAGTTTATGCTATAGAAGTAGGAACAGTAACAAGTCACTTTTCACTTAAAGTAACTTCAATTTATTAAATAAGTCACTAATTTACTCACTTTTGAATATTTTCTCTTTAAAGTATATCCAGTGATGTAAAGTATACAAAATTATATTATAAAATACAATAACATATAAGCAGTATTTTATAAAAACAATTATGTATTAGATAAGAAAAAAATTAACTGGGGGATTTAGATATGATTGAACTATTATTTTACAATTTAAAAGTTACAAATGTTAATACTACAAAAGAAAGTTAATGTTTACATTTTTGTAGTTTTTATTTTAACATTTTTAATTTTAAAGTCATAAATACATAATTAATTGCAAAATGTAGTCAAATCTAACAACCCAAAAATCAAATAGCTTAAAAATTACACTTTACTACAGAAAATAATTAATATTCTAGACATCTTTCCTAGAAAATTTGCAAAAGTGGACTTATTATCATAAAAATTGTTGTTTAAATGTGTAATTAAATCAGTGACGATGCCAGTATTTTTTTTTTTAAACGGAATTGTCATATTTGAAAAAAATTAAAACAAACCTATATTTTGGTCCTAAATTGTATTTATTATACTATTTGTATTAGATCTATTCTTATGTTATGTCATTATAAATGTTAATTAAATTTAAAAGTGGTAAATTATTTTATTTAGTTTTTGGATAATAAAAAATTAAGTTTAACTTAATTTTAGAAGTTTTTCAATTTTCCAAAAATATTTTCCAATTTAAATGAATGTAAGATATTGTGTGTGTAACAATTGAGTTTTATAATAGTCAAATCTAATTTCAAATATTCACCTTTAAAGTAAAACGAAAGTTTTAATTTTTTCTTGTCTATTTTAATTTTGTACGTTTTGTTTGTTAATTGATTTGATTAATTAAAATTATAAACAATTGCACTTGTTTTTTTATTATGTATAAAACTTGTTTAATTTCTTAATATGCTATATTAAATTTGAATTGTTAATGATAAAAAAAAATATTTTCTTACAGAAAAACTGCAAAGACAACTGAATCCTTATGATCATAATTTTAAAAATATTGGCAAATTTTTCAAATATTACAGTCATGAACTCAATGCTTTTGTCCCAATTCAAGCTTTAGCAAATCTTTATCCAGATGATCATAATTATACTCTCAATCAAATGAATAACAAAAAATAATTAATCTAAACTTAATTATGTTCCTATGAATTGATTTTAATTTAAAAAAATTCACATTTACTTGTATTTTATTATATGTATATATCATTGTTCACATAGTATACATATAAAATATAATAAATAAATATTTTTTGCATTCCTTGTAATTTTATTTATATAATGTTACTATTTAAATTTCCTTACAGCATACAATAACAAATCACTTAAAAATATATAATTTACAATTTCATCAGTTTAAAACAATATCAATAGTTTTATATCTCTCTGATCACATTGTATTAATGTAAAAAAAACTAGTTTTTATCTTAAATTATCTATTATACTAACATTAATGCCTAATATATCAATGCAATTTCAATCAAAAACAGATTTTTTTTTATTAAGAGCTTAGTTTTAATGAAAAATAATTTAGAATAGTGAATTAATATACTGATTTTACTTTTTAGAGTTTAGATGATAATGTACAAATTTTATGATACAAAAATAATAATATAAAGTGTAAAATGTTCACTTCTATCCCACTATTTCTTTGTAATAGATTAGGGAATAGTTTATAAACTACAATATCCCTAAAAAAATGTTAGTGTAACTAAACTCCTTTCACTTTAATGTAATAATCTCACTTTAAAATAATAAACTGGATAGTAAAAACAGTTTTCATAATCTATGTACAAGAAAAACAAGTTGATAAATATAATAAATATAAATAATATATATATATATATATTTTTGAAAATGTATAAAATTAGTCTACCCTGTTGTAATTTAGAAAATTTTTAAGTGAAACTGGTATTGGCAGTTCATTAATTTTTTCTTTTAAAAGTTTGCTCCATTCATTTTCTTTACTTTCACTAACAAATTTATACATAATTGTTTCTACTTTAGATTCTCTACCAGCTTCACTATCATTACTATCATAACAACAGCTACAATCATGTTCTACTTCTGATTCTTCACCTTCATTGTCTATAGATGAAAACCAACTTACTTCAGAATCTTCATGATTAAATGTGGCAGATTTAGGTGATGTTTCACCTGTTGACATAGTTTCCCACATGTCACTATTATTATGTGAAGAGGAAGATGTTGATGGTTCAATTGAACCACTTAAATTTGATTCGTTCATTTTTAATCTTTTGGAGTTATTGGTTTCTGTTTGAGCTTTAATTTTATCAGAAAATTCAGTATCTGGAGACTTTCTTTTGGTAGAATCATCGGATTGTTGTTCAGGAATTTCCAATAAACTTTCATTTTCATTTATAACAAAACTTCTTTCTTCCTCACCACTTTCATCGTAATCTTCCGAAAATTCAATATTTTCAGAAACTTCCTCATCTGAATCAGACACACTATCTGTCACGGTATCAAAATCAACTAGTCCATCTATAATATTATGAAGACTAACTATTCCTACTTCACTGCCAAAACGTAAATTGACAAATTGTGATACTGGGTCAATATAAATGTCTTCATTAAGATCTGGAGGTAAATCTTCATTTTTTACAGTGCACTTTGTACGTATGGGTAAACTGGGACACAAATTATTTAAATTTTCACGTATTAATGAACGAATGTTAAATCTACACAGTTCTTGCAAAGTAATTGGTTCAACTGAAGCTATTAAAAAAAAAATAAAAATTTTAATTCATTAATTATAAGGCATTTTTTTATAAGATTTAAAAGTGTTATAAACAACTCAAATTATTTATCAAGGATATCATTACAAAATATTAGTTTCAAAAATACTTTCACTTGTTAAAATTAATTTTGTTATATTATTAAGCAGTCATACTTCTTCTTCTTCGCCTTAATCCCAACTACTTGGGATCGGCCAATTAAGCAGTCATACTAAAGCAAAAAATATTGGGGGTGAAAAAATTATTTTTACTGACTGAATAGTTTTTTTTTTTTTTTTATTGTGTGATCTTTTTCCAGAAACCATATATTGAGGGATTCTTTTAATACTAGCCACTTGATTTCTCTTAAAATTATAAGTATGTTAAGTATTATGTTAACTAGTTAAATATATAAATTGCCATATGAAAAAATAAAGTATATTATACCCTTACATAATAAAAGGAATGAATTTAAATTATACTTAATAATTAATAAAAAAAGAAATATATGAAAATAAAAAAAAATAATTTTCTTAACATAATTATTATTTTAAGAAAAATTGAGTGGATATTAATATAATCACCCTGTATATTGAAAAATGGCTAAATAAAAATATTTAAAATCAAATAGTGTGGGATGCTATTTCACCCCATGAAACCGTCCTAATAACAAGAAACATGATGACTTTAATTAAAATAATTGATTATAAAAATTAGTAGTAATACTTACTGATTTTGTATGGAACAGGGTTTTGGAAAGAAAGTGGACCAAGGAATGAGTAGTAGAGATGTGAACGCTTAGTTGGATGAAAGAAGATAAGATAAGGAATAAATATGTACATTGATCATAGATAAGATATGAAAAAATAGACTTAGATCATATTATGAAGAGAGAAAAATTGAAAGCAACAGATACGGTTATAAATATTAATGTTAACAGGAGAAAGGGAAAAGATGAAAAATTATAAAAATTTATAATTATCACTTACGGAATTCAGTTGTATGAAAACTACATTTTTCTGGTACAATAAGATCTGTAAATGAGACTTCCAAAATTCTAGAAGATTCCCAAGAATGTTCTTCAATTCTAGTTATTTTCATAAGATAACCTTCTAAAGGCATAACTATAATACCACCAATCTAAAGAAAAAATTATTTATGTAATGATCTCAATAAACTTACAAAATCATAAATACTATTTAATGAGAGAAAGTATTATTACATTTATAAGTGATTTCATAAACTCTGACTCCTCTGGTGGAACACCTGCTCCACAATAAACTCTATCATAAAAGCCGATTGGCAACAATTCACAAGCATTTCCTTAAAAAAAAAGGAAATTTTTGATATTCTTTGAAGTTTTAAGACATCACTAGTGTTTTTATATATACCTTGTACAAAAATTGGTTCACAGAAGTCATAAAAGTCAATCGCTGCTGCCTTTAATTTAAATTCTTCTAATTTTTTGTAAGCAGAATCTATAAGTGACTGATGAATTTCAATTCCATGATTGACACCATTAGAACCTAAATAATTTTTTCTTTTGTAAAAATTCTAACAACATGCTTTTGAATAATGAAATAATATTTTTATATTACCCAATAATAAACCCGCTACAGTACTCAAGTAACCAATTCCAGAACCAATATTCAAAAACTTATTTCCTGATTTCAATCCAAGACATTCCATAACCTTGGCATAGATACAAGGTGATGATAAATGAATTTGTTCATACTGCCATGCTGAGTCTGTGTAGGCATTCAGTTTTTGTTCACTGGTATAATAAAATCCTCTGTCAACACTACGAAATACTCTTTCGACATCTATAGAACGTATATATTTTCTACCAATCAACATATTTATTAAATCATCATTACTGCGTGATAAACTCAAATTTTGACCCATATTTATATTTTTCTAGCAATCACTAACATAGATACCTGTGTAAAAAAATAAAACTACATTGGTCAAATAATTACACTCATTTTTATACTTTTATTATTTTATTATACACTAAAATGTATCTTAATAATAATGGGTATAAGGGTTTCATTCCTTCAATTTGTAATCATCTTAATAAACAGTATAAAGGTCCAATGCAATAACTAGTTTTATCCAATTTTCAAAAAAACATGTTTTCATATTTTCTAATAGTCATTTTTTAAGCAGTTTAGTATAACAATCATTTTACTAAAAAAGCTAATATCATAAATATAGAGATATCTCTTGCACATTTCATATAAAAATAATTTAGTTTTGATATCTCCTGAAAAATTTCAAAACATGGAGATTCTGCAAAAATATAATATAAGCTACTTATTTTTAAAGACATTCTCAGTACAGTATCTCCATTTTATATTGTAAAAACATTCCTTAATTTTAGAGGAACATGATTCTTTTAACTTTCTCCACAAATAGACCCAAAGTAAATTAACACTTACAAAAATATGCAATCCAAAAGAAATCCCTTTTTTACTTAGTAAAAAGAATTTATACTTATTTCAATATTAGGAATACTATACTTGAAAGAACAAATTATTAGCAAGTAATATCATTGTTTTAATAGGAGAATAATTCTTATAAACTCTTATAAAAATTATTTACTTCATATAATTGACTAAATTCTTAAAAACAGTAGTCTAATAAAATATTGACTTAATAAACTATACATTATAAGGTTTTTTAACTAATATCCATATAATTTAAAAATTAAAGCAAAAAAAAGAACAATCTCAATTTACTAAAATTTATATAACTTTAATTTACTATACAATAAAATATCTTCTATTAAAAACTTAATTTTCTATTAATTCAATAAGGAATATATTTACCGAGTAAATAACTAATACTATTCTAATTAAATGAAGTGGAGAACGGACGCATAACATTTTTTTCTATAAAAGAAAGATATAGATGTGTAGTAAAAATTGAAAAACGTTGTTATATATTATCACATATTTACCTATCCATTGATAACACTATTTTTACTTTATTCTTTAAATAATTTGTGCTTAAATCACAGACTAAGTGAAAATGTATGATTATTTTCATGCTTGTATTCTACATATTATATTGTTTATGTAAATCGTTTATTTTTAAAACCAAGTTATAACAATTTTTTAATTTTTCAAAGAATAAGTAAATAAACGTCGATCATAATTCACTCTAGTTAATACTTATTTTTAAATAAAAAATATATACCAATAGGCAGTGACGGATCTTCAACATTTTTCTGTGGAGATTCTAAAAAATAAAATTTACTTAAATTACGTACAGAATCTTACTCTACATATTAAATAATGTAAAAATATCGGTGTCTGGGTGAGTTTCGGGAGATTCAACTACCCAAAAAATTTGACTACCCTACAGTTATAATTTATGGGTGACTATATTTTATGTGAACAAATAAATTTCATTAAAAAATATATTTGTAATATAATTATAGCCCTACCATTAGAATTTTATACTTAATGGACTCAAGCTGTCAATATATAATAATTGACCAGTATAACTATCTTTGATGGTCCTTCTTTTTTTTTTGCTTATTAAAGAATATTTTTAATCGATCGAAACGTCTTTAATCTAAAACAAGTAAAAAATATTTTGACCCGAAATTCAATCACAAACTTTGCATCTGTCGTGTTAACATGTTGGGTTAAGTTAATCCAGTAAATAATAAATATTATATTTACTATAAATTGTATATTTTGAGGTCTATTAACACAATAAAATAGACAAAATTGTTTGTAGAAATGTGCATGAGAATATCTATACTCTATTACACGCAAGCTTATGGACAAATTATAATCTCTTAGGGATAACCCCAAACTCTTTTCATGATATAATTAGATTTCCTAACGATTTAGATACTAGTAATATAAATAGTTTAGAAATATTAACAAATAACAATTTTGATACTGTCATACTTCCTGTAAAGTAAAAAATGTATACAATTATTTTGTTAAAAATTATATATTTAAAAAAAAAAATTAAATAATTTGATAAACTTTTTTTTTCGCTTCGCTCAGAATATGAGCTAAAAAACTATTTAAGACAGCGATACAATCAAGGAAGGGATTAAAGGTTATATCTTCTCCTCTTGAAATGACTACAATCCTTAAATTATATTGTAGGATAACCTTTTTATTTTTAAAAATACCCAACCTCAATAAATATTTTGGGGATGTAAGGTAAAAAGGAGCAATGCTCTGGTGTATGTAACTGTCATATACATTTTTTTGTACATTTTTATTCGTTTGAAAGGAGTAGTGAACATTTTTTTATGTATAAATATATGCTTAATAGTTTAAAGTAAATTAAAGGTCAGTTAATAAATGGATAAAATAAAATATCAAATGGATTAAAATTTCTCAAATTGATCATGCAAGATTTAATTAGAACGATATTGACTATACTAAAAAGTAATTTTTCTAGTTTATAACTAAAAATAACTTAGTGACATTATTCGAAGAAAGTCAACTTAGGCATTTTCCTCGAAATAATCTTAAAAAGTGTTTTTTGTCATTTATTATGAAAAGAAGATAGTAAAAGGGAATGAATTTAAGGCTTGGTAAAAATACTGAAAGTATCTTTTTGACAATAGAGTGGGAAATAATTATAACTATTATTATATATATTATATACTATTACTACATATGACTATTATTATGTTGTGATATTTTATATTTATATTTTTGTTCGTAGTTCTAAATCATAAAACTTGAAATGTCAACTTGTAATTTTTATGAAAACATTAAAAAACTTCAGTTTCTTAAACTACAAGAGTATATTATTCTTATTAATTTATTAGTGTTAATTGATAAATTTATACAAATACTCATTTTTATTATGAATAAAATAACATATTATTTATGACACTTGAATTGGTGTCAGTAATGTATATGAAAATGAAGTTCGTGATGAGGTATCCATCACGGACGCCCACAAGTAATTATTAACGACATAGGGACGTATTTATAGTTAATTCTTAAGAATAAGTTTTTTTTATGCTATTCTTAAACATACTTATTTAGATAACTTAAGTACAGCTTATCATAAAAATTAACTATAAATGACCTCAAGCTTATTATAAATTAACAGACTTGGAACAGAGTTTCTGACTATAATTATTAATATTTGTCCCTACTAATCTTCTTTAATTAACATAAACACAAATAGGAAAACAAATATTCTATTTAAATGTAATACTACTTACTAATTTTTCAAAATAATATAAATAAACAGAATTTAGACATTATATATGATTTAAAAGTCTTAAGGGATATTTCTCAGCATTGACTAAGTAAACATTAACCTGTGTAAAGTATTAACCATGGTATCAAGTATTTAAACATCGTGTACTCTTCTTAAGTTTTTCTTCCATAACAATGGGTCACTTTCCGCTTGTATTATAACTTTAAAATGTCTTTAATTTTATCCTGATTAGAAAAATGTCTAACAATAGTTGTTATTAATACACAATAATAACAAATAATTTATTATTGAATGATTAGATCTAGTAGAAAGTTTTTTTTTCAAATGCACCTAATGTATTTAGTGAAATATTCATTCTTTAATTGTATTATTTAAAACTGATTTATTAATATTTTCGCTTAAAATTTCTAAAATTTAATAAATCAAATTAAATTTTTTAAATTTATAACAGTTAAACGAATTTGATTGATTTTATCAGTGAGTAACTATTATTGTATTTAATTAAAATTCAAGTTATATGTTGATATATTAATAAAAAGCTATACTTTTCTTATCGTATTACCATTTTTTTCTTTAAATATACATTAAAAAGAAAAGGAATAGTAGGTAGTAATAATGAAAACAAATTTAGTGAGATGACAAAATTATTATTTTATGTATATTTATACTCAAAAATGTTAATTTTACATAAATTAGAAATATTCATATAGTGAAAATTATTTTTGTTACTATAAAATAATCTAATTTTTAGTAAAAAACAGTTATATTTACTGTCAAAAAGATTAATAATTTTATTTAAATATTAGTATTTTTAATATGTTTAAATTTGTGTAAATTCAAGGTAATAGTTTATTATTTTAATGTTCAATTAATGTTATTGGTAAAAATATTTGAATTTTGAAACTTATTGATGTTAAATTTTATTGTTTACATAATATAAAAACCTTAAAGACTTTATTGTAATCAGCTTCATTAATTTTTTTCACATGTTAACTAATAAGGTATTTTTTAAATATTATTTCTGATTATTTTCTTAAGTATATATTTATTTTATTTCATTTTAATACAATAATTTAACTACATCGCACTTTTTATTTATTTAATTAAAGTAATTCTATATAGCTAATTTTTTTTTTGTTTAATATAGTTTTTACTATGGAAAAACAGAATGATTCTGATGAAAATATTGAAACGATTATGGAAGTTAATTATGCAAATAATAAAGATTTGCTGTACAGCAATTATGATAGTATTAGTGAAACTAGCTCACAATATGATAATTACCAATATTCAGTTGATGATGAATCTTTAATGATAGTTGAAGAAGATGAAAACAGTACAATTAGTAGTAATAGTGGAGAATTAGAAATTGATGAAAACTTAATTAAATCTAAAATAAATATTTCAAAACATTCTATGGTTAAAAATTCTGATGAAAATATTATTGTTCATCCACCTAATATACAAGTTAATATTAATGAAAAAACATTGTCTTCTGTTGTATTTGATTCTTCAAAGTGTTCAAATATAAGTACAAAAAATAATAGTTTTATAGATCTAGAAAAAATATCTATGCCTAAAAAAACAGATATTACTAATATAAAATATAATATAAAACCATCATTAGCTAATCAAATTAAGAAAACAAAATCTATTTCTTTTATATCTTCTAGTGTATTAAAACCATCGACAACTACTACAGCAAGAATTATAAAACCTAAACCAGTTGAACTGGAAAATACCCAAAGTAAATTTTTAACAAAATCAATAAATGATTTAAAAAAGGCTGTTTCAAATGATAAAAAATCAGAAGTTTATATGGTTCCCCATGATGGTATAAATTATATGGTGCGAAAAGTTAATATCAATAAAGATCAACAAACTAATCCAAACATAAAATCAACTACTCTTAATAGTAATTTAGAAAATTTTGTTGAAACTAGTAACCTCAAAAAAAAGTTGTTGATGTCATCAAAATCTCCAAATAAATTTGTAGCCCAAATGCAGAAACTACCAGATGGTAAATTCAAAGTAGTACGTGCACAAGGAAAAGTTCCAGTAGCATTAGAAAATCTTTTTAAACGAAACTCAGATTTTATTAAACAAAAAATTGCTAGTAATTCTGCTTCAAACTTATGTAAGGTTAGTAATTATATTAAAATGAAAAAAACTTTAGTTAATCAAACAGATATTCAAAGAATTACTAAAAGTAAATTATACCAAAATCAACTGCAGGTAAAAAATATTGGTAAAATAAAAGATCCAGATTACATGAGTTTAGATAAAGAAGAAAATTCTTATACTATAAATAAAAATTGTTCTTTATTAAAAGAAGAAAAAACTAATATAAATGCAAAAAATAATCACACATCAATAAATGAAGAAGATTGTTCATCTGGTTTTATCAAAATATCGCCAAATTCATTAATTCAATCAGATGAAAAATCATCTGTTATTATAAGACCTGGTTAGTATAAATTATTAATTTTGTCATTTTGCTTAATCTTATTTTCACTCTAAAAATATTAATTAATATTAACTATTAATACAAGAATGTCAATGATATTTTATCAAAATTATATTTTTATTAATGTGGCGTTAGGTATAAATTTTATCCACTTAAAAAATTGAGGTAAATAATACCATAACATATAAAATCATTAAAACAATATAATAATATTAATTTATAATTTGATATACAGTTAACTTGTTTAAATTATTTAATTTAAATATATTCTAAAAGTTATTATTTATATATTAAAGCTTAAATTTTAAAATATTTATGTGTAAAGATATCTGGAATTCTAGAAATTTGATTATTAAAATAAGGGTATTATAAATTTTTTTTAGTCCCCTTTAGAAATATTGTGGTCCTCAAGAAATTTTTTACTATGATAAACTTTTTGCCTGGGACTGTTTTGAAGATTACCAATTCAATCTACTTATATGTCATTTTCTAATGAAGACTAAGATACATATTTATAAAATAACATCTCAGAAGGTATATATTAAAATTAAAGTGAATATAACATTTAGTCTTTAGTATCTTTTTTCACCCCCAGTCCTATCTTTATATTACAGTATTTAATTTATTGTATTAACTTTACCTGATACTCTAATATGTCTACATAAAAGTAATAATTAAAAATTGTAATTTATAGAAATAAGTCCATAAGTCCTAAGTATTAAAAATTTAAATATTTGACAAATAGGTGTGTATATGACACAAATTATTTCATTTTATAATATTGTAATATAATTACGTACATTTTTTATATTTGTAAATATTGGATTATCAAAGTTAATAATTTTTTTGATGTAAAGGTAACCTGGTAATTATTACAAAAGCATACCAAAAACAATATTTTTATTTCCCAAAAAAAAATCTTTGGTACTTGGCTTCATATAATTGGTCTCAATTTTACCAATTTAATTTTTAACATTTTATGATTTTATGTAAATATAGAATAGAATAGATTTATTCAATATCAGTTAATCAATATTGAATATTTGAATATAGGTTTTCAGTTGTAAGTAAGTATTATATTTTCTATGCATGTTATTTCAATTTTTTTTTTATGCATAGATATCATAAAGGTTACTATGTAGGGCAAAATGTGTTGGGAAATTTTTTATTTTTATTTGGTTTTTTAAAGCTAAATCCAAGTAGACTATTTCCTAAGGGCTAAATTGATCACGCAGAATTTTCTGTAATCAAATGTATAATCCATAACACGCAATTGATGCCCTGATATTTTCCAGAGGCTCTAATTATTATTGTGATCACTTGTATTGTTAAATGTTTTTAGTTGTTTTTAAAAAGTATAAATAGAAAAACAGTGTGACAATTATTACCATGTTACTTTACTCTTGATAATAGTGCTACTGTTACTTGTTTAATAAATTAATAGTTTCTAAAGCATAAAACTGTAATATTAAAATTTTATCTTAAAACATTAAATACTCATAGTAAAATAAATTTTTATTTTTAGATACTAAATTAAATAGTAAATTAAATCAAAAACAAAATTCAAGTATAAATTTTGTACCAAAGATAAAAAAAGAAGATGATAATTTAAATGATACTTCAGCCATCAATGAAGAAGTAATGGGTGTAATTGAAGATGATAGTAATGATAATATTACCTGTCTTTCATTTAAGGTAATTATTATATGTGTGTAATGTATATGGAGTGAATAATTTAAGACTGCTTATAATTTGACAATGTAGGATTTAAAAAGAAATCATTGTAATTCTACTGACAATGAGAAAAATAAAATTTCTCCGGAAAATTCTAATAAGAAATTATTATTGAATAATGGTATTAAAATTGAAAAGAATGACATCCAAGGTTTGTACACTTTATTTATATTTATACTGTGTAAAATTTTAAATCTAACTAAAATTTTATTATTAAGGATGTTATGATGATAATCATTTTGTGTCTTGTCATTATGAATACTGTGACACGTTAGTTCATAAACTTGAATTAATTGATAATTTATACTGCAGTTTTGCGTGTAAAAAATTAGATTTCAATAAAAATATTGAAGAATCTGCCACAGTTCAAGAAGCACCCTTCTCATCTTTGCCTCTAAAACCTAAAATTGACAGACAACAAATTTTGACCAAAATAGGAAATAGAATTATACATAAAAGAAAACAGTTGTTGACACCTCCATCTCCTGATAAAAGAACAGTTAATGATGGATGGGATGAACCATTTTTTGATAGTTCCTGTAGTGAACCACCTAATGATATTTTATCGTCAAAATATTCTCCTATTAATAACAGCTTCCATGAAATAGATGATGATGATGATGATGATGATGATGATGGTGATATAGTATTTGATCTTGAAGTAATTTAATTCACTAAAATATTTTTTTGAATTTATTAATTAACTTATGTTAAACTACATTTTTTTCTTAAGTCTGTTAATGGTGATCAAAATTTGCTCAATTACTTAGAAGAAATGCAAATGAATTCTGCTCCAAAAAGTTTGTTTGATAAACCATTTCCTAATGAACAAAACCCTTTTAAAGTTGGTCAGAAGTTAGAAGGTATTGATCCTGAACATGAAGCACTTTTCTGTGTTATGACTATTGTTCAAGTTCAAGGTATTTTTATTTAAAAATTAGACATTCAGTATTATGATAATTTTATCTTTTCATTGTATTACTTTTCATTTAAGGCTACCGTATAAAACTACACTTTGATGGATATCCTGGTGATTATGACTTTTGGGTCAATGCAGATTGCCCTGATATATTTTATACAAGATGGTGTGAGCAGAATGATCGAACTGTACAACCGCCCAAGAATTATGAAAAAAGATTTGACTGGGAAAATTATTTAAAAGAATGTCGAGCCATGCCATCTCCAAAATGGGGTTTTTCCTCCTTAAAAAAGTCAACTGTAATATTACACTACAAGTTTATTTTAGTTATTATTTTTGATAATTCACATTATTTTAGAATAGTCAAATAAAAAAATTTAAAGTGGGAGCTAAGTTAGAAGCTTTGGATAAGCTTACAAGAACCTTACCAAAACAATTAATTTGTGTAGCTACAGTTGCTGACATCCTAGGTGATCGTATACGAATTCATTTTGATGGATGGACTGATGATTTTGATTATTGGACCGATATAACATCAACAAATATTCATCCTGTTAAATGGTGTGATAATAATGGTCGTGTTTTATCAGCTCCTAGCGGATATAATGGTAATTATAGTATTATTTTTTTTAAGTCTTTTACAACATAGCAAGCTACTTTGTTATTCAGTTTAACTATCTAATTTCATGTAAATTTCATAATATTTTAAACATAGTTATATAACTTAATTATTATTTATATTGGTACACTAAGTGTAATAATACATAAGCATTTTTTGTTAATATTTTTTTTCATCAAAATGATTTATACTTAGAGTGTAAGTAATTAGAATAAAAATCATAATTTATTTAAAAATATTCTTAATTGGTGTTGCAAAATCTATTTATTTAAGTTATTCATTATTAATATATCTTTATTATGACCCAGGTATTTGCCTAAGGCTTTTTTCATCAAATGAATGATCAAAATTAAGAAAAGTCATTAAAATAATTGATTGAATATTTGAATTATTACAAGTCAAATAAATCATAACAACTGTCCTATTAATCATACAATTATTAACTAAATCGTCTTATTTCTCCTCACCTTTATCCCAACTATTTAGGGTCGACCACCCTTTATCTAAATTTCCACTTGACACAATCTCTCACATCATCTATGCATACATTAGTTGTCCTCATATTGTATTCAATAACATCCCTCCATTTCTTTTTGGGTCTTCTACATCTTCTACCCTCAACATTCATTTCCATAACTGTTCTTACAACTTCCGATTCCTTTCTTCTCATAACATAACAAAACCATCTAAGTCCATTTTCTTTCATATTATTCTTCCACAATTGACCCTACATCTACACTCCCTTTTATATGTTTGTTCCTTATCCTATTTTCTCTAGTCACTCCACTTATCCATCTAAGCATTCTTATCTATACTTCATTCATTATCTGCTTTACTCTTTTGTCAACCACCCAACATTTTGAACCTTACATCATAGTTGGTCTCACTACAGTCTTATAGAACCTACCTTTCAGATTCATTGAAATTCTCTTATCGCATAACACACCACATGCTTCTCTCTATTTCACTCACCCATCCACACTTAACTCTGTATCTTGCATCCTTGCCAGTACCACTATTTTTTTGCACATCATCATGAAATTATTAACTAAATAATTATATAAATAATAATAATAATGATAATAAATTATTTTAATATACATTTATCTACTTAAATCAGTACTTCTTGATTAAACTCTTAATTAAATTATTACATTTGCTCTTCAAATTAAATATTTTTCATATAAAAATGAAAAATTACAGTATTATAAATTCAAAATAAAATTTAGAATTTAATTATGTATCACCATAATTTTCATTATTATCTTTAAACAAACCTATCTTATGTAATATTTCAAAGACAATTTGTATAATAAAGAAAATTTTTATTATTTAGTTTTGAAAATCTAAATTCATAATTTTTTTTATATATGTTGAAAAAGTTAAGAGCTATAGCTTCCTCTCTGAATATATAAAATATATGTTATAAGATATACTTAATTTGTATTTTTACGCTATATTTTAGATTACAAAGGTAAAAAACCATTTTCATGGACAGAGTATTTAAAGGAAACTAATAGTGAACCAGTGCCAGAAGAGGCTTTTATAAGAAGACCCCTTAGAGATTTCAGTATAAATATGACTATTGAAGTAGTTGACCTTGTAGTTCCTCAATTGATTCGAGTTGCAAAAGTAATAGATGTTAAAGGCGATGAAATCAAAATTCTTTATGATGGATTTCGTAGTGTTTATGCCTATTGGGTTGAAGATGATAGCCCAGATATACATCCAATTGGTTGGGCTGTCCGTACAAATCACCCTCTTGAAATACCTCCAAGTAAAAGATATATTACTCAAATATGATTTTAGTTTTATAAAAATATAGTTATAACTTTATAACTATAAAGTTATAAATATAGTTATAATTTACTAAACAAAAATTTAGGAAAAAATTATGTCAATACCTGTGGAGTTGTTGGCTGCAGTGGTAAAGGCAATGCAAATTCTTTAAAGACTGATCACAACTTTATAAAGGATTGTCCTTATGAGTTAGATACATGGAAAAAGGCTGTTGCTGGGCTAGCCAAAATACCAGATCGTTTGAAAACAGAAGATGACATAAATAGTTCTATTAATACTAGGTATTTAAAATATCAATACATCTCAAAAATTTATTTTTTATCAGAAGTTACCACGAATTAAAGTGTCTATTTAATTATAATTTAATGTATTAAAATGATATTATAAAGAAGTCGTTATAAGCAAAACTATTTTAGTTAAATTTCATGTAGTAAATATTATCAGAAAATAATTGAATTAATAAATCTCTTATGAATCTCTAGGATTCTAGTTTATTATTTTCCTAACCATAATCAATTTTATTCAAAATTTTTAGCACTAAGTCACATTCTCAAATTAATCACCAAGATGATGAAATAAAAGGAAAAAACAAAAATAATAATTTATCTTACACAAATGAAACATCTCTAAAACAAAAAGGAAAACTTGTTCAAAATAAGTACATATAATGAATATTTAATAAATAACCAATTTTGATAACTAAAATTTGATTTTTCTTTTGGTTCTCAGACAAAATGATCTCCATTTTAAAAAGACTTCAAGGCATAACACTGATTCTAAAGTCATTAATGTAAAACAAAGCACAACAAATATCAATGATTTAGAATTACGCAAAGAAGTAGGTATGTCTACTATAGCACATAATATGGGTCCATTATCAGAAACACATTGTGGCAGATCCTGGACAAGACATAATGCTCAACTTGGATTACCAATATTTGGTACAAATGATGTGCTTAGATGGTCTGTGGAAGAAGTGGCTTCTTATGTTGACCGTTTTGTGGGTACTAAATTTATAGATAAATATACAAATGAAGAATTTAACGTATCAGATAGGTTTCTAGAACAGGTAAAAAATATTTCTAAAATTAATGTTATTGTAGTATAACTAATGACAAAACTATTTTGTAGGAAATTGATGGAGAAGCTTTTTTAATGTTAACTCAAGATGATATGATGAAATTAATGAAAATTCCTTTAGGGCCATCAATTAAATTATATAGTGCTATTATTATGTTAAGACAAAGAACTCCTGCATTTAATTTTGAATTGTAATTAACTCATCTAAAAAACTTGATGTACAATAAATTTTATATTTGTTTTTTATATTTTCTATTATTATTTAATTTTTAAATATTGTTAAAATTATTTAATATTTGGTACCTATTTTAGATATTTTTTTTTTTTATTTTTGTGATGGTTACCTTTATAAATATTATTATATTAATATATTTATAAGCTAAAGTACAATTTTTTGTTTGCTAGAAATTTAAAGCTATTGTTTTAAATAATTAAATTTCCATATTCTGTTATTTTAAACAATAACGTGTAAAATAATTATTTGTTTACTTTTTGCGACTGATTTAATTTTTTTTTTTTTTTATTACACTTTTAAATAGCAATAAAAGTTGTTTTTGTTCCTAAAATCATTTATTCATTGATAGCTGTATTAGTTTATAAGAAGTCTAATTAGAATAATTTTTTTTAATACCTCAATAAAAATAAGAATATATTATCATAAAATTATTTTTATTATAAGAAATTTCTCAAATAAAATTAAAAGTCTTTTGGTTTTGAGTAAAGACTGAATGTGATATATGTTAATCATAAACAACCACTACCCATTAAGCACATACTAGAATGTATAAGGTATAAACAATTTAATGTTACAGCTATCTGTAGTATGGTATTATTTTTACAAAATTTATTAAAAGAAAAAAACTAATTTATACAAATGAAGAAGCTATTTTAAACAATTATTTTAATATAGCGGTGCAACTAGATTAAAAATCATAGGGGTGCTAAAATTCTATAAGTCTCACTAAATGTGGGGTGCTCTACCCCCACATTACCTCAATTCACCATATAAATGTAATGCAACAAAAAAAAAAAATATAAGAGTATTAAAATTTAAATTATCAGAATCAGGTGCACAACTGAAGATAAAACTTTTCGCTCATGTTTCATTTATACTATCAATCACAATCTCAGGTTATATAAAAATGGTGGAGAGATGATATTATATTTTCAAAAATTTGAAACTTAAGTAAAAATTTTTTGTTTATTATTAAAACGGATGTTTTCTTATCCAAGAATGATTTTTTCTGTATTGTATAATTAGAATTTGTGTATGCTATAACATCAGGAAAATCCAGTAGAAAAATTATTTGACTAATATTAAATTACTACAATAATAATATCATTATCATGTCATAAAATAATAGTTTATTTTAACCCATTCCTTGGTTACACTGATGTGATAGTGCAGTCGGAGATAACGTTCGAATTTATTTTCAACTTTAGCATGAAGAATAATTTTTGATACAATAAAACATAATTTTTCATACCTATCAACATAAATATGTATTTTTTTGTTAGAAAAACTAGAATAATGTAATTAAATTAAACTAGTGTGTTCATTTTCCAAACCACATCTTCAAAAGTATGATCTGATATAACATTTTGCTAAAAAGTTTTGCCCATATTTTTTTAATAGATACAATAAAAAACAGCTGCTGTCATGAATTCTACAGACATTACAGTGAGTTTTTGAAGTTAACAAAATTATTTTTCATGACTGTTTTAAAAATATATATTTTTGTATTATAGGCTTATGAAAATGTGATGAAAAATTATGAACAGATGATGTCACAATTTTATGATCCAAGCTCAACAAATGAAGCAAAATATCGATTACAGGAAATGTTTGACAATTTTGGTGAACAAGATAAATGTTGGGTCCAATGTTGTTATAACTTAGAAAACAGTAAAAACCAGTATCTCCTGATGTTTAGTTTAAACACTCTTGAAGTAATTATTTCATGTCAACATTAAAGTCAATGTTATACCCTTAAATGTTACATTTTTCTGTACTTTTCTAGATGATTATAAACAGAAAATGGGAAAAAATGACTTTCAAATCTCAAGAAGCTCTTAGAGAAGCAATTTTTAATCATATCATTTTAAAGCATAATCAATATCCAAGATTTATGATTAACAAAATGATCAAGCTTTTAGTTGATATTGCTAGAAATGACTGGCCTATGAGATATCCTAACTTCATTGATCATATCATTCAAGTATTTTTTTTTTTTTTAATAAATATCACATTTGTTTTCAATAATAATAATTTTTACAGCTGCTTATGAATCCAGATCAAGTACTTTTGGGACTATCTTTTTTACTTTTATCATCTGAAGAGTTTATTAGTCCTAAAGAAGATCTATTGGGAAAAAGAAAACAAGATTTACGAGTAAATTTTTTAAAACACATTCCAAAATTATTTGAAATATTATCAGGTAAGGTAATTTTTTTATTAAAATAAAATATTTTTAATAGTTAATCATAAGATAAAAGCTCATATTGATATAATTTTTAATATTTGTAAATAAATTACATGTTATGAAAACTAATTTCTTATAGTGTGTTTTTAAAAAATCATATATTTGATATTCATTGTAGTTTTATTTTTAAATAATACTATTATGACTCTTACATCATTAACCTGTAGATTTTCATATATTTTTGAATAAATCTCTTATTTTTTTAATAAAAAAAAAGTAGTAAATAAATGGTACCATTGCAAAATAATATTTCCTAGCAGTCATAAACACTCTGAACTAGTCAGTTTTATGATAATTTTTTATATTCATTGTTGATTAACTCTTACTCTACATTTTTTTTCTTTTTCTATTTTAATTGAACAACATTTTCCAATTGTTAATGTATTAGTAAAGCAGAAAATGATTTATCTGTTTCCACTCTTAGTAAATAATAAAATAATAGTATAATAATTTAAGCAGTTACATTAATTACAGAATATAACGTACAACGAATCTATGATTATGTAATAGGAACATAACGTCTGTAATCAATGTATAATTAAGCTATTTAATACTCTTATGAAATATTTAAAATTAAATATTTATTTATTTATGTAGTTTATGATTGTAGTAATGTTGAATACAATATAATATATGTTTCAAAATCATTTTTAGACATATTAAAAAATGCCCATAAAGCTTCTAATTCAGAAGATGTCTATGAAGCTGTGACTAAAGTATTTTCTGATATGTTCACTTGGCTACCATTTGAAAAGTACTTGACACCAGATTTATTACGTACATTGTTACCATTAGCGAAAAAAGAAGTAATATTTTTAATATATAATTCTTAATGTAAATTTTTCTTTATAAATCATTTCTTGAAATTTATGTAGAATGCAACAGCTATTAATACATTGACAATATTTAATGAAATTTTAAGTAAGTCATATGCTCAAACAGAAGATAAGTGCTTGATATTATCTGAATTATGTTTATACACATTCCAATTAGTTGAAAATATAGTATCTGTACCAAATATTGGTTTTGTTAGTGAAGCGTAAGTTTTATTGAACTTATTAATGTGTAGTACTTAAAATTTAAATGTATCTTGTAAATAGATATTTGACTATAGTAACAGAAATTCTATCTGTTGTAATAAGAAAATACTGCAATTTCCTTGATAACCACTTTTCAAATGGAGAATTTTTAGATATGTTGTTGCAATATACATTCCAACACTTTGCTGTAGACTGTTATTATCAATGTTTAGATATATGGTGTGGAATTTTTGAAGCATTATCAGATCGACAGCAATGGGTGGAAAAGTAATAACTATATCACTTAGTTTACAAGATAGTGTTAAATTAATCTCATGAATAGAGCATAGAATTTTATGCATTTATAAATTTTGTTTGAATCACTTTGAAGGGTCCCAAGTTTTTGCAACTTTATCATAAGATTATAAATAGTATAAAAATATTTTTTGATTTAGAAGGATTAATCCTTTCCAAAACATGAACATCAGTATAACACATGACTAAGTGTTTAAGTCAATTTAAAAAAATTTGTAGGGGCTAATGGTGTATTTAAGATAACTTAACTAAATTTATAAATACATATAATTACATACTCTACTAATGATTGTTTTAAATAAAAAATAAAAAAAAATAATTTGTAACACTGTTTTATACTCTTATAATGTTTTCAATTTTAACTTATTTTATAATTGAAATTAAAATATAGAATGATAAAATACTTATATTTATAATTTTTTTTTATATCAACCGAAAACATATTTTTATAAAGGATAAATAATATTTAAGAAAATTTTTTATTTCAGATATCGTCGAATATTTTTAGACCTTGTAGAAAAAGTTACTCTAAAAATTAATACTTATAGTGATTTCAATGATGAGATTTATGATGATGATGTTAGTATACTAATTTTAAATATTATGTTTATATAGTTTAACATTTTTTAATTTTCTAGGGACAGACTGAATGCCAAATATTTTTAAATAAAAATATTGAAATTATATCAAATGTAGCAGACCTGTATCCTATTGTTTGTATATCTGTGGTAAGTTTTAAACTAATATGTTTTATTCTTAAAAGTAATGAAAATATATTTTTAGGTTGATAATTGGAAAGTGTATATTAATGATTACATAACAATATTAAACTCACCAATGTTGCTAGAAAATTTCAAAGATTCAAAATGTATGTTTTTAGTTCCATCTTCTAGAATATTAACAAGTCTAAGTAAACATTATGAAGATTCAATGAAAATTGCAATAACAAAAATGCTTAATGATATAGCAATTCAAGGTGTAGCTACCACTCCCCTGTATCAACTACCAGTAATTCCATCAACTACAAGAACATTAATACAAATGTGAGGACTTAATACTTTCATTTGCTGTAAATTTCATTGAGACAAAATGTAGCAATTAAGCCATTTAAAATGATACAGAGTAGTAATATTTCAACTATAAATTATATCATGTTAGGTACCAAAATTTAAACAGAATATTATTATACAATAATATCATAGAAAAAATAAAATCATTGTGCAGTGTTCAGAAGAAATTTGTTTCAAAAAGAACAGATTCCTTGAACAAGTTATTTTTGTAGGAACGAAACTAGGAATTGCTTTCTTTAAAAATTAAAAATTAAGGAATGAGAAATGTGAATGAATTCATTTTATGAGGAACTTGAATAAAATTTACAGTTTCTTTAATTTTTAATGTTTTTTAATTTTTTTTTATTTCTTGTTATAAATTATATACTTTTAGTTGGTTTAGTTAACTATTAACAATATTTTTAATAAAAACGAACAAAAAGGGTAATTAGTTTTTTTTATAAAGTAACTGGATCTGAAATGAGTAATTTTTAAGAAAAAGGAATGAGGATTTAAAACAAGTTCCTGTTTTAGGAAGTGAGCGAGGGGCAGGACAAGTTCTATTTAAAAAGTAATTTTTTCAATTCCGATAGTGCAAAAATTAAAATAATATATTTAATTTTTGAATATGTAAAATCACCTTCTATAACTTTATTAATGCCATTTATATCATTTATTTTCATAGCTATTTTATTGTTAAATCATTATAAACTACTTGTATCATTAATACTTTATTCTTCATCATCACTAATAATAACAAAATGTGACATTATTTTGACAGATGTTTTGAATGAAAATAATATACTGCTTATAGTATAGAAACTGTTTTTACCCTAATTTTTTTACATTTTAATAATGTTATGCCATTATAGTCAGAGCGAAATTCTCACTGCATTATCAAGATGGATGCATTTACTGAATAATAACAAACAATTTTGTTTGGAGCAAAATCGAGAAAAACTTTTTTCTGTTTTGGTAACTTCTTTACAAGATACAAGTCAACCATCCCAAATACATAATGCATGTGGTGTTTTATTACCAACAGTAACTGAACCCATGTTGACACATATTAATGAGTATACATCTTTACTGGAACTTTTGTTGTCTCCATTTTTAGATGGATCTATTACATTGAATCATCTTAATAAAAAGGTATGATTTAATAAATATTTACTTTAAATTTTTAAATTGATATTTATTATTGTAATAATATTTCAGACTCGCTTATCTGTACAAGTTACATCTTTGAAATTTCTTTTGACTTGTCCTAGTCAAGAAGAAGAAATAAAAGTTTTAGTTTTAATGAATTATTTAAAATCATTAGCTCCGTCAGGATTAAATGACTTGAAAATGTTAACTGACGTTCTAATTAATAGTGGTCCTCACAAGTTATCTACAAGAAAAATTATTTATCGTTCTATTGAGGTAAACGCTTTAAAATGTTAATACAATTTTTTTTTTTTTTTGCAAGTAATAATTATTTATTACAATATTTACTTTTCTTTAGACTTATTTCACCAATAAATAACTTGACATTATTTTAGTAACCCTTAAAAACCTTACAATGAAATATAAAATATTTATCTGTTAATTTTAAATTTCATCCTAAAAATTAAAGATGCTTTTCCTATTCCTTAGTGTTTTATCTTTCAAAATAAAAAATATAACACATTTTTTTTACAAGTTAATAGTATCCTTTATGCTATAAATTAAAAAAATTGTGCTATCCTTCCTCTTCCTTCCTTAAAATAGTATTAACTTGAGTTTTTTTAATGAATGCATTTATAATTAATTAACAAATAAGAAAATGACAGGTCGATAACAACTTTTGAAAGATATTAGCATTTTTATGGAAGGAATAATGCAGTTCATAAATGCTTGGAGGTAAAAATTAACAGATCTACACTTCACTTTCTGTCTTAATACTAAAGTGTTAATAACATCCAAAATACTGGTTCAAAAGTTGTTCAGCTGATCATTTTCTTAGTTATATAATTTTCTTTTTTATAAACTAGTTTTACATTATACTTCCATTTAAAAAACTAAAGTTAATACAATTTTATGTGAGAAAGATATAGGATAGAGATAGGATCAATTTATTTTTAGAATTAAGAATGTAAGATACTATTAACTTTTGAAAGGAAAAAATTGTATTATATTTTATACTTTTTAAGATATTTTTTGAGAAAATGTTAATCAATTATCCTGTATATTTTCATTATTTTTTGATTTTTACTAAAAATAGTAAATTTTTACAGCCATTTTTGGTGGAAGCTGTAACTCATCTAAAAAATGATATGCAGTCTGAACAATCTCTAAAACTACACATGGATAGATGTGAAAGAATTATAGGATTTCTTTCAGATATGTATGAACTTTTACATGATACAATGTCTCCTCAGTTTGTTCAAATACTAATGCAAACATTTGTGGATTTAGATATGTATATAGCCTTACCCATATTTTCTTAAATAATATATCTTATCAATAAACTGTTCTTTTTTTAGAATATGGTCAACTAGTATGACAATAACTATTAAAATGATTGAGGTATTGTCATTGATTGTTAAGAATTCATCCAAATCTAATAAAGAATTTACATCAGTAGTTATTAAATTAGCTTTAGAAAAATTGATTCCATTAGTAGCGTCAAATAGTTATCCACCATCAATACCAGCACTTTATCATCTTCTTTATTGGTAATAAAATAATGTTCTAATCAAATATTAACAGATAATTAATTAGCATTTTTTTTATTTTAAGTGTTTTAATGTATAAATGGAGGTATTTTTTTCCTACTGCTCCTTCTTTAACAATGAATTCATCTAATGGAAATAATATTGATAACTCTGAACAATTTACAACAATTTTGGAAGTTATAGGATATTCTTTTATGATAAATGATATTAGTATTTTTTCACAAAACTTAAGAGCTATAGAGGAGTTAAATTCTAAATGGAATTTATATGCAAAAGTATAAATATACTTGTATTATGTACAAAAAAAATTATTTGATAATTTTGTTTTAAAAAATTTTTAATTAATTTATTTTTAGGAATATTTTAAATACTATTTTTTAAGTAAATATATGACTGTTTTATTAAATGTCATGGTTAATAAAACCCACACATTATTATGTGATGAAATATCAATGGCAATTTACAACATGGCTAGTGTGAATTTTGACTATTTCTTTTCAAAGTTTTTACCTGAATATTTAAAACAAACTGATAATATACGTAATGATCAGCGACAATTTTTAAGACAAAAGCGAATGGAACCAGTAAAAGTAATAAAATAAAAATAGTAATATTTAAATATTAAAATAAAAATAAGCTCTTTTAGAATAAAACATATACTTTTTATATTTATTATTCGTTAATATATTACCAATTTATTATTAAAAAATACATTAAACATATTCTTATATATACTTCTGCTTGTGTTTAAATAGTTAAATAATTTTATTTTAACTTATTCATAAGTTACTTTGCTTAATTACATTTAAGAGCACTAATTAGACAAAAATAATAAAAATTATTTTATTTTATAAATATCTATTATTTTATATTTCTCATTATTTAAATTATCAAATTATATATATAAAAGAAAAAATTCTTAATTTTTTTCTACTAATATTCGTTAACAAATTGTATAAAATTATTTTGCTTTTCACCTTGATTTTATATTTTATAATTGCAAAAATCATAATACACATTTCATCGCTGATTTGTAAATAACACATATCTTACATTTTTTTTAATAATGGCATTGTGTTATTATTAAATTCATATTTTTAAGAATTCAATATTATATTGGTTATTTTTATAAAATTTTATTTATTTTCTCTAAAATATCAATTTAATAATGACACATATCTGCTTTTAAAATAAATAACGATGATTATTTTAAATTTCATGTAAAAAGAAAAGCAGTTTTTTGTAGTGTCAGACAATATCTTATCTTATGTAATATCTTATAATAAAAGTGAACAAATAAATAAATATATTAGTTATTACTTAATAAGTTATAAATTAGTTTTATTATCAAATCAGTAATGACAATTTATAAACTTGTTTATTTGTTTAAAAAATGTTCTAATTTATCTAAAAATTTTATTTATATAGGAATTACCAACATTTATGACAAATTTAGCTCAATTGACCAATGATATTAGATGTTCAAAACAAATATAAATAATGTATTTGAACTGACTGAAAATTCTTTTAACCATGTTTTCATTTTTAGAATAATTAAACACTTTATGGTTTTAAGGTTGTTAAAATAAGTAATGATAACTGTTTAATTTTATATAATTATTTTTTTACAAATTTAATTTTCTATTATATGAATATATATAATGAAATAAAATATTTTAGTGTATCTAACTAGTGATATCAATGTTTTTTTAAATTTATTTTTAATAAATGATTGAATTTATAAATTTTGAAAGGGATGTACATTGTTAAGAAATTGTTATAAATAATGATATCAATGTTTAAAAAGCCAGAAGTATTTAATGTGGTTTAAATAAAAAATTTTAATTATTTAATTTTTGGTTATGAGACAAATTTTTCAATATAACCCGATATAGTTTTTTACACTAAAATTATATTTGGAAGAGGTTTTGATGAGAATTTTGTTTCAGTTGTTAAATTGACTATACGTATATTTTTTCAGTTTATTTTTGTTTTTTATATTTCGTGTTTCTTATTATAAATAATTATTTATTCTTTAGTAAAAGTATTTATTAATAACAATACATTATTTAAGTAAATATAGAAAACTACCCATTATATTTTTCATTTTTTAAGTTGCATGCTATATTAAAACATCCTTTAAAATTATAATACTGTCACTAGTTAAATTAATAAAAGTGTGCACATGATTACAGTAAATACATATTTAGTAAATTTTGGTCAATCTATTTTAACCAATCTCAATATTAAAAAAAAAACCCAGCACAGAAGGGTCACGGCACAGTGGTGACGTGGCATAGTTGAATCAAATGTAATGATATCTGACACGAATTAAAATCACTATCATAAAAAACGCTTCGATGCAAATCTTTAGATAGTGTATAATTTTAAACAATTGGTGGATTATTCCAAAATCTATATGATCTGCTATTTCCTTATTTATATCCTGATTAAGATAAAGTATATCGAATGAAAGAGGGATATAAATATTATTTCTCATAAAAAAATTGTATTGATCCATACACTTTTCAATAAGTTATAGCATTATAAATTTTAAAATATAAAATACAGAATTTTCACACAAAAATAGCGTTTGGTAACTATTTTCACCGTGAAGACAATATGAAATCCAACATTTTTTTTTTCCATAATAAAGTATATTACATTATCTTTAATTTAAGATATATATAAAAGTGTCAGAAAATTTTAAAAGTTTGATTAAAAAAAAGCTCTTGATTAATTTCGGGCTGAGTCACAACACGGCGGTGTGAGTTTTTATGCGACATTGGGCGCCCTGAAACAATACCTATTTGTGATCTTTTGGCGTATTGTTGAAAGAAATCGGTTCGGTGAAAGCTGAAGAAAAGTGGTTATATTAATTTTAATTTACCACTGTTGCTATCAAATTAATTGTGTGTTCACAACATAGGTGATCTTGTGTAATGTATACGTTTTTGGGTTGTTTGGGTAATATATACTACTAATCTTGTTCTTCATTATTTAAAATACTAAAAATTATGACAACAATTTCTTCTATTTCATTATCTACTTCTATTGTTCTCAAGCAACTAATCAATTTTAGTATTTTGATCATCAAGTACATGACCAATGTTCTAAAAAATATATTAAGGGTCAAATTCGAAATAATTTAATGAGAAATTAATTTAAATTTATGATTTTCCATTAATATAAATAAAAAAATTAATACTTTTAGATGTATGTTATATAAATTAAAAATATGAGCAATACCAACATAAATAATTTTATAGTTATTAATTATATTAATTTAAATAGATCATACTTAAAACACTTTACAAAATTAGAAACTTTAAATGTAGTACAATAACATTATTTATCTGAAATTTCAAACTGTATGTATACTTCATCTATAGCCTTCGCTAAGATATCAAATGTATATGACCCTTCTAGTCTACTAAGTGTTAAAAGACTAGTAGTTTTTAATAAAACCCAGGCCCGTATTTATAAAAATTGCCGCCAGGGGCAACATAAAATTTGCCGCCCACCCCCAAAAAAAANTGCCGCCAGGGGCAACATAAAATTTGCCGCCGCCCCCCAAAAAAAAGAAAATTTTTTACTTTATTGGTATTACACAATTGTAGTAGAAAATAGGTACATTAATATAAAATAAAACTCAGTAATAACTAATAACCAATATATTATTTAAAACATTCTTAAAAATAATAAAATAACTTCAATAATAAAAATATTCAATTGTAATTTCATAACTTTTCTTAAACTTTTCTGCGAGATTGTTTTGATGCAAATGATTTAATAATATCATCGTAGTCAATCATTTTGGTTATGGATGACTCAATGTTTAATATGGCTAAACTGTTCAATCTTTCTGATGACATGGTTGATCTTAAATATGATTTAATTCTCCGTAAAGTGGAAAATGATCTTTCCGTTGAACAATTAGAAGCAGGAGTACATAGAAACATTCGGAGAGCAACATAAACATAAGGAAAAATAGCTTCTATATTTTTTTCTTTAATAAATTTACACATATTAATGATATTTGTTGGAGGGTTTTTAATAGTTTTAAGTAAGCTCTGAAAATGAACACACTCGTTTTCAAATGTTTCATCCAAATCATTTTTGTATATTTTTCTTAATTTTTTTGCACCATCACGAACTTCTGAGGTTTTTTGTTCACTAATATTTAAGAAAAATAAGTATTTAGATATTATATCATCATAAGAAATTTTTCTTTTTTTTAGTTCTTCTATTAAATTATCACAAATAATGTAAATGGTATTAATTTTAAAATTTTCGCGTCCGTTGAAAATAGCATCTGGTTCAGTAGATTCATCATTACGTTTCTTACGTTTTCTATTTTTGTGTTCATAGTCAGGAATTAAGTCATCATTGTCAAACATAGCTTTTGCCAACTTTTCATAATCATTAAACATTGATCGTAAAGTTTGAACGTATTGAATTAACGAATTATACAAACTAACTACAGTGCTTATATCAATATCAACAGATTGTAATAGAAGACTAGTTTTGTTAAATGTATGTAAAATATCACTCCAAAATACAGTCATGTATGCTGTTTCTAATTTATTCATTTGTCTAATTAAACCTCTGGCTTCAGACCGTACAAATGGTTTTTCATAATCATCATTTATTAGTTCTTCTAATACTTGTTTTATAGAATTCCAGTTTTTTTTTAAGCTATGGCAAGCGTCTTCTCTTGCTGACCATCGTGTAGTGGATAAACTTTTTACAGTTGAGATAGAATATTGACTTAATTTATGCCATCGATGTGTGGATGAAGAAAAAAATACAAATATATTTTGAATAAAAAGAAAAAAATCATTTGCTTCTTTACAGCAATTTGCAGCACACGATCCGACTAAGTTTAAAGAATGTGCCGAACATGGTACAAAATCAGCTAATGGTGAAACTTGCTTTATTCTTGCTTGAACTCCTGAATAAATACCAGACATATTTTTAGCATTGTCATAAGATTGACCTCTCAAATAACAAACATCTAAATTATATTTTTTTAAAACTGATAAAACTGATTCTGCTAGATTTTCTGATTTATGTCTAACATTTTCTAAAAAACCANCTAGATTTTCTGATTTATGTCCAACATTTTCTAAAAAACCAATAAATCTTTTAACTGGCTCACCGTTTGATAGCACATACCTGATAACGAAAGACAGTTGATCAGAGTGTGATATATCTGGAGTGGAATCTATGCTGATAGAAAAATATTTCGATAATTTAATTTCATCAACTATGGTATTAATGACTTTTTCAGACATGATTTTAACGAACTGTTCATAAGTAGAAAATGATAAGTAGGAAGTATTACCTTTGCCAGGGTTACCATACTTAGATATGTGTTCTGATAGAAGTGGGTCGTACTCTGCAAGTAATTCCATCATCATAATAAAATTTCCAGTATTTGAAGTAGATGATCCAAATTTTTCTACATCACCTCTAAATGATAATCCATGACTTGCCAAACTTTTAATAACCGAACAAACCCTGGTCAGTACACTAATCCAATATTTTTTTTCGGTTTCTATTTGATGTATTAGTTTTGAATTTATTTTACTTAAATCTGATGCAAGTTCTTTCATTTTATAAGAACATAGTTTGTGTTCAGGTGAATTTTCATGGTAAGAAATTTTTTTAGGGTGTTTCCAATCTGAAAATCCTTTTTTTGAAAAATTAGTTTTATTCTCAAATAAGAGACATGGAACACAATAAATTGACCCAGTACTCTCAGAATAAGATAAATAATTTCTTTGACATGTTTCACCATTGATTAAAACAGTTTTGAAAAAATCTATATTCAGATATCTAAAATAGTTACGGAAATGCCGTTTCTTTACAACTCTGTACAATCTTTTTGAAGCTGTAAATTTAACATCTAGATTTTGGCTAAATCCATTTTTACAGATATATTGCCTCGTTTGTTCATTTATACTCCACAATGCTGGATCCAATCTTAAATAAAAATAAAAATGAAAATTACTTATTAATTTAGAAATAGTTACAATAAGAATAACATATAAATGCATTTAATATATTAGAATATTTAACCTAATAAATTTTTACTTATTTTACCTATTATTATTATTTTGTATTTTGTCTAAAATTAATTCTAATAAAATAATAAAAAATGTCTAATGAAGATAATCGTCAAAAACTAAGTAAAGTAAGAATTTATTTAAAAAATATAATTTTAATTACAGTGTTTTAACTTTACCCAGGTATATCAGTAGAATTTGGTTCTAATAAAATATTTATATGCTCTGACACGCATGGAGGTTCTGTATCCAAATTATTACAAAGAGTTGTAAGGCCAGCTTGACGTTGTTCAGTAGATTTATTAACCATACCTGACTCTGAGTAGAAATATATAATGATATAATCAAAAATTATAAAAATACTAGTTGTGTTTAACCATAGTTTAAATACAACACATTTTTTTATTCGATATATCTGAATACCTGATTTATATAATAATGAAATAACTAAAAACTACCTAATAAGAAAATTCATATAATTTGGAGTATAATATTTAACTTTTAAGCAATTGTTATATTTAATTATTTAAATTTCCGCAATAATATAATAATTAAGATTGGTTTGGTGTAATAATATTTGATTTCTTAAAAAAAAAAAATTAAACTTATTATGTGTTTATATAAATTTCATATTATTATTAGTTTACTTTACAGTGAACATAAATAAAATACTTACTTTTGAACATCGTGTCGATTTTAATAGTTTTTTGAACAACTTTATTCAAATTAAATTCTTTGAGCTTAGCTATTTTCTTGTATTCAGCCCCACTAAGCCTATTTCTTCTTGGAGCCATAACTAAGTAAAATAGGTATAAAACATTATTACAAATATAAAATGTACCGACCTATTCAAAATGTAAATTCGTGACTTATATGAGAAAAATTATATCGTAACTAATATTCCGCAACTCTTAAGAACAATAATTGTTTTTTTTCTAACTATTAGAATTAAAGCACAATTAACATTTTGTAAATAATTAATCATAATAGTCTTTACTACAATATAAATATTAAATACCATATAATACTATTGGTTTTATAATATTTTAAAATCAATGATAAATTATAATACTTACTGTTTTGAATATACACGCGTAGTATAAATGTATAATATTAATTAATAGTTAAAATAAATTGATTAACAGACCACGACACCACGTCAGTACTCGTTCATGAATAATGCACTAATAATTGTATTTTGATTTTTGTTATCGATAATATTATAATAAATAATAATACTTAATAGTAGTGTAAATTGTCAATAATCGGCAGTCGTAGTTTCGTAGCTCCTTATATCATGGGAATACCCCAATTGTATATTTTCTATTTTTAGTATGTATTTTTCATAGTCTACGATTCGTAGAACTAAATACGAATCATATGTTTACAACATCAATATGCCCAAAGCATTTTATTGACATTCGAGTTGATAACGAATAAAAACTTTATCAGAACTTTATTAGGTACATTCTACATTCAAAATCTATTTTAGTATAATTATATTATTATAGTTATTTTTTTATTATTCTAATTATATATTATATTTTTGTATTATACCATTGATTATAGATAGTATATAATATCTATAATCTCTATCTATAATCAATGATTATACTCATTAGGTAAAATGAGCTACAAATAAATTTTACATTTTTGACCATTTCAATATTTTTCCACCCCTAAACCTAATTTTAATATTGCCGCCAGGGGCAATTGCCCCTCCGAGCCCTCCCTTAAATACGGGCCTGTTTATATTAACTTAATCGTTTATGCACTTCAATAAATTTTGTTTAACTCTTAAACCAAAATTTAAGAATATAAATAATTGTTTACAAAATTGTGAAATTCATAAATGTTGGAACTGTTAAATAAAAATTCTGTGAAATATTACAAAAAGTATTTTTAAATTGTTGTTTAATTGGCTTTAAATAGTAATTGATATATCATTGAACACTAAGTTTTTCCTAAAATAATAATAATTTTAGAAATATTATTTTTTGCGTTTGTTGAGTACTATTTATCTATCAATAGAGGTAGTTAAATACTTTTTAGGATTGTCCTTTAGCCCTTGTAAGGATATTAACATTATTTTTTTAAATGACTATATACATATTAACTTACTTCTAAAATAAAAATGTAAAATTATGATTTAAACAATAATTCTTGATTTAGTACTTATTATTATTTTTATATTAAGATGGGTAAAAATGTGTTACCGAGAAACGTTTAATTATAAAAATATTCATATCCAAATACTAATATACTTTAATAGAACAATTGTAAAGTGATAAATGTAAAACTGAACAACGAATTGGCGACAAATCCATTAATTATTTTTAATTCAACGGATAGGTATTTGAAAAAATAAATACGTAAGTCAATTGAGACAAGTAGTAAGAGTGACAAACTAAAATAATCGGATGAACAATATTATAGTGTCAATAATGTATAGTACAATGAATATATTGCATAAACATGACTTGACGGCCAAATGTTAAGATAAAAGGAAAACTATCTTTACTAATAGTTACTCAGTTGCGTTTTTTCGTGTCCCGCGGGTTAGTAAACAAACTGGCAACGTTGCTTTCGTAAGTCTCTATAATTAAAAGGGACAAAGCATTGAAACCATTCTGAACCTTATGAAATCACACGTTGTCAGTTTGCTTATTGACATGTATATTATTTAAATTTGTCGACATTTTTTAAATATTTATTCCATCTTCTGAAAAACGGTTGTTTGAGTTTTTCGCTCAAATATACTAAAATAATTGCTATTAATAGACCATCCGATTGAGATATTTTTCTATTTGTTATTTAACGTCCATTAGTATTATACTATAATAGTAATAAATTGCATTTATAAAATGTATGCTGTTTATTATGACGGCATTATACATTTTAGTACAAATTATTCAATCACCAATTTACTACATTATAGTTATTCTTTTTCATTCTATTTTTAGCAGACATTGTTATTATGTTTGATGGTTGTTTACAATTTTCTTATTACATTTTATTTGAGACATAATTCATATTAATTTAATCGGTTATGCTCCTAATAAATTTTGTGTAACTTTTAAATTAAAATTTAAAAATATTAATAATTTTTTATAAAACTTAATAAATATATAAAACTGTTAAATAAAAATTGTGTAAAATATTACTAAAAGTATTTTTTAAATATTGTTTAATTAGTATTAAAGAGTGATTGATATATCATTGACCACTAAATTTCTCTAAAAGTTATAAGCTTAAAAATATTTTTTTTTGCTTTGTTAAGTACTATTTATCTCTCAATTTATAAATGGTTAAATACTTTTTAGGTTCGTCCTTTTTTCCCTTATAAAGGTACAAACTTCATTTATATACCTTAAATTAAAGCTAATGTAATGTACTTTATTATGAAAAAAAAAAATTTGACCTCTGGACTTGTCTTCATGGTGAAAACGGCTATCGAATGCTATTTTTGTGTGAAAATTCTCGATTTTATAATTTACATTTTTTACTTTAAAGTGCTATAACTTTTAAAAAAATGTATGGATCAATACAATTTTTTCATGAGAAGTAGTATTTATATACATCTTTCATTCGACATACTTTTTTTTCAAATCAGACTATTTCCCTATATATGGGGAGGCTTCAAATATAAAAAATGTATATAGAAAGTAGAACTTTTTCAACTTAACTTTTGAAAGTGTTCCGGAAGGTCTGACACTTTTATATATATCTTAAATTGAAGCTTATGTCATATATTTTAATTTGAAAAAAAAAAATTGACCTCTAGATTTGTCTTCACGGCAAAAATGGCTATCGAATGCTATTATTGTATGACAATTCTCGATTTTATTTTTTTCATTTTTAACTTTATAATACTATAACATATTGAAGAGTGTATGGATCAACATAATTTTTTTTATGAGAAATAATATTTCTATCCCTTTTTTATTCGACATAATTTATCTTAATCAATATATTAATAAGGAACTAGCAGATCATGTAGCTTTTGGAATAATACACCAATTTTTTTAAAATTAAACACAATCTAAAGATTTGCATCGAAGCGTTTATTTTTGATAGTGATTTTAATCACTGTCAGATATCATTATACTTGATCCAACTATACCATGGCATCACTGTGCCGCGACCCCTCTGTGCTGGGTTTTTTTTATATGTAAATAGTATTTTTTAATAATATTAAAACTTAAAAGTGATAGAAATAGTCTAATTGCACATTTGAAAACATCGCGAAATGTTGAGTTAGAATATTATATTTTTGTTCCTGATGAAAGTTCCTTGTAGTACAGTGTATAAAACTTATAACTTTGTTAACTGTTAAACTTTATCAAAAATGATCAAATCAGTATAATTTTTTTTTTATATAGATACATGTCTTTATCTATCATTTGGTTTTTTTTTTATAAATCTAACCCTTTACCAGCCTACAAGAGGGATTCAAAATAATAACTTTTTTTTTTAGTTAAAATAAATCATTAAAATTAATTCAGTCCTGGATATTTCAATTATNTTTAGTTAAAGTAAATCATTAAAATTAATTCAGTTCTGGATATTTCAATAGTAGAATCTTTTTAAATATCAAAAATTACTTAGAAATGATTACTATGATTTCTATTTAAGTGTTCTATTACGATAAAAATGCAAAAAATAATGAGTTTTTCTGATAAATTTACAATAAATAGTAATTGTAAAACTTTCTGACTGCATATTAATCTTAAAAATAACATTGTTTTAATTATCATCAAGTTTTCTATTTAAAGATTCATTCTAGTCAACGAAGGAGTAATTTTGAAGAATAGCAGAAAAAATTCCCAACAAACTTTTTTTTTTTTTGTTTTAATTAGGAAATTGGTGGATTATTCCAAAAGCAACATCAACTCTTATTTCTTTAATTATATCATGATTAGTAGTTCTTTGATTTTAAAATATAATATATGAATATATGTGGGTACCATTGGTATCTAGATGGCACCACTTCCAGGGTCTGGAGATAGATAGTGGTATCAAGTATTATAAGAAGGGAAAATTAAGTCAAATCGTGAGTCAGTAGTAAGTCGGCTAAGATGTGTCTCTATGTATATTCTTTATTACATATGTGTGTTCTTTTTTATATAATATTTTTGTGAATATTTTGTATAGAGTTTTCGTGTGTAACTAAGTATATGTGTTATTTTTGTTTGATTTCATTTAATAGAGTTTTTGTGTATTAATTTATATATATATATATAAATTAAATAATAGTATTGCGTCTTCGCTCTGTTCCTGTAATTGCCTGTTTGCATTTCCCACATACTAATTATAATTATATAATTAGGTATATACTAATTATAATTATTAAATTTAGTATGAAATTGATATTTAATATTGTAATTTAAACGGAGAAATTATAAAAATAATAAAGAAGTTATATTTTGCTTTACTTTTACGTGTATAAAAATTTAAAGGGCTTGATACAATAATTTTCAATAAAAACTGTTTGTT